CCAGACGATGTCGTTGCTCGAGGGTTGCACGCGATCCAAGGACCTCTGCAATATTTTTTTTCTCCGGCTGGATTTCCCCCCGAACAATACCCACTGGCGAAAAAAAAATCCGCAGAGAGCAAAATCTCTCTCTCCCTCACACAAAAACTCCCGAACAAAAGATTAAAACCGATACGGGTCCCGGGACGCGCGGCATTGTTCGCGTACCATTGCCAGTAAATACAACGAAATGGGTCACGGAATAGTATATCGTCTTGTTCTTGGGAGGAATATGTATATTCATGTTATAGGCGCGGTTGAGTGGCTGCGGCTGGAGCACGTGCTTGAGTAAAAGACTCGTACAAAGGGTACCATTCAGAGCCCATGACCCTAACGCACTCCCCTCACTCTTCGATTCCATTCGGAGACCCTTTTTCCGGAGAGAGATGAGCGTCGGGTCTGTATTTGTTAACTGCAGCCGTGAAAACACGAATGTAAAATGTTCATTCATGCATTCTTATTTTCATTTTTTGGAAATATTAAGAAAAGTGAGAATCAATTTTTTTGTAATTTAGGGAATTTATTACGAACAAATTGAATGGGAACCATAAATTTATGTTCATTGAAATTAGTAAAATTTACGTAAATAAATTCTAAAATTCACAATTAATTAAATTTTCATCGCAATGTGATGACGAATATTCATGTTTTAATTAAAAATTTGAGTAAATTCAAGAATTCTCGACTTCATGCTGCTCAAAAATTTGAAATCCCATTAAATTTCCCCCGAAATTCGCAATTTCGTTTTCCCTTCACCGATTTCCTTCAGCCGACCACATCCACCATCGATTTTATGAACTTTGCCTCTCGCTATCGCGCCTCCACTATCTAGAGCACATAAAACATCTAATCTATGATCCACTATAAAACATCCAATCGATAAATATCCCAACAAACCGGCGAACCGATCCGAAAAATACCCAGAAGTAAGGTAATACAGGTGTCCCGAGATTGAAACCAATCTATCGGTGTCACCCTCCACTTTTATCACCCCCCCTTCCGCCCCGATGCAAAACATATCATATTATTTAATTATCAGTCCCGCCTTATCCCGCCAAGTCGAAACAAGAGATGGCGAGTGATCGCTGGAGTAAAAACTAAAATGATGCTGACGTTGTTTATATCCATTTGATATCATACCAGGAAATTTGTGAGGAGATTATCTCAAACCTCTAGCAATTACAAGTAACGGTTTGCACGTGTGTCTATGTACGAATATGATGTTCATTTATTCATCCACACGCAGCGGCGAATGTGGGTCTCGAATTTTTTCAAACGATTGAACATCTCAGAAATGAAAATAATCGAATTAAATTCACTGTGAAAATATTGAATGGCAGGTGAAACTGAGGACGATTCAATTAACCCACAGTTGCACATCACACGTTTTTTTCAATGTCAAAGGCAAATTAAAAAATTCAGACTTTTGCAAATGTTTGTGTGCAGTTATGTGGAGGGTAAAACCCGCCGAATGCCCTCCGATTCCACACGAGAAGGTCACTGCCATGAAAATCAACACTCGTGCACCCGCTATTTGATTATGGGTGCGGGTGAAATGTGTGGAAATTAAAATATTAACAAACGGGGTCGACTCTTATCGCATCACCAGCCGAATTCTGTTTGATCATGAGCCGTTTAATATCTCTGTTTGCTCCATTCATTTGTGAGATGATGAATGAATAGTCAAGGAAATAGCCCCGCATTTACGATTAATAAAATAAAAATAACAAGCCAGTGGTCAGTTATGGGGCGTCCTTTAAATATTTATGGTCTCGTTGTCGTTACATGTAAAACGATGGAAAACGTTTCACTTGAAATGAGCCTAGATGCGTTTTGCCTTGCCGGAGGCGAGAAAGTAACCCCACTCGCGCACGAGGTTGTACGCACACTTGAATAAAACTAGAATAAAGCGACAACGAGGATGGGAGAATATTGCTTCGGTACTTGTCAGTCTTCACGGTTTTTCTTTTTTTCGCGGTGTAAGCACATGCGGCCGGGATTTATTTAGCTCGTACCGGTGGACTGACTGATGCGCCTTAACGTGGACATTGGGCTGATGGGAAAGGGGCAGCTTGAATGTGCGGACAGAGTGGCCTCACTTTATCGGTAGGGATTATGTACGTGTAAAATTCACGGATATGCGTGGAGCGAGGTAGTAGGCCATCACCTTATACGGATTCCTCGGGATCCTCTCGAGGATTCTTGACTCGCCCAGAGTGAGAGTCGACCGCAGGAGAAAAATTCGCTATGATAAGAAATTCACTGAAGGGTTATTTTTTTTTTAATTTCAGGGAACTGATTTAAAAAATTATTTGGACGTTATATTTTTTATCGTTCTGTATCCAGTTAGTCATTAAAACGAGTTAATGTTCGCTTTTATTGAAATTCGGTGCATCCAACAGTGAAATCGGTTCCATTTTTCGAATGCGCAAATAAAAATCTCCGGAATTATTCACATTTTTTGTTTTACTTTTGTCTTTTCAACTCTTATTCTTCTATATTTTCTCAAGTAAATTATTATTCATAATAATTCTATAAGCATTTTTGTTATTCGTGAATTTCATACTGGTTTTCCACTGTTGACACTGGTCATCAGATTGGATCAATCACCTTCGATTCCGCGTTGAGTCAGCCGAAAAACAATAGTACTGTGTACCGAACTCCAATATCAGATTGATATCTCGAGTATTCGGAATTGTCAATCCTCGTTAACCACGCATCATTACTGTTTGCACCGCATGATCAAACAGAGTGGGAGATAATTTTGGCGTATATAAATGCCATGCGAAATGAATTGGGCATCAAATATCGAATTCCCTCATTCGAGAAGCAACTGACATCTCAACAAAAATATGAAGTGCTGCGGAGTAATTCTTTTTGTCTTGGCTGTCTTCGTCTGCCAGGTAAGTGTCCTTTTTTACGAATTCCATCACTTCACCTCAACTCTGAGAGAACAAAAATCCTCCAGAATAATCTACAATTCCACTGATCAAATACTTGATTTCCTGAATCAATTAAAAAAAAATTTGAAAATATTTGATGCAAACGTCGAATGAATTGTAAAAACATTTGGGCATTTCGTGATGATTCCAGAATGAAGCCAGTGTCTCTCCGGTAATGAGCCATCTGAATGAGACCGTGCAGAGCGTGCAGAACGCCTTGCAAGAGCGCAAGGGTCGTGTCGCAGAAGAGCAGAACAGGAAGCTCCAGGCTTTTATGGAGAACTTCAGGGGTATCGTATCCCACTCAGTGGCTACCGCTAGGAAAGAATTTGAGGGGAAGGGTCCCGAGTGCCTGACAAATCTTGAAGGAGAGCTCACTGCTGCTCAGAACAAAGTTTCACCTGTATTGGAGAAATGCCTTCAAAATAATACTCCTGACGCCAGACCTGTTGAAGACCGCATTGATGTATCACTCGCTGTGAGTTGCATTCCATTCTCAAATATCCAGAGATAATTCGCAATTTACTCTGCTCTATTTACCCATTTCTTCATCAATTTTAATGAAAAAATGAATTTAAATCTAATTTGAAAAAAAAATTAAACCAATTTAAGAGATCAGGAGCCCATACTTCATATATCTTTTGATGTTTGACTTTACAGAAAGGTGCCGAGATCCTGGCTACAATAAACGAGATTGAAGTTGAATGTGCAGGTGAGAAGGAAATCGCCACAAGGGCATGCATCGCAAGGAGAATCCCAAAAGTCTCAGTGGCCGTTGGAGTTTATCTGGCAGGTGTTGGAAAGCTGAAGGGACAGGTTGTTGTCGCTCTTGGTCTGTCATACGCTAAAATCGGCAAATGTATAGTCGTCCCACTGAAGGACTTCAAAGTTGAAGTTGAGAAGGCAAAGCGGAATGCTCGTGCTTGCGTCAAAGCTGCCCAATAAGCACCTCCAAAGGTCAGCGAAATGCTCGAAATTATCGTTATAGTTAGTTTTTTGAGCGCATAATTCGATGAAATGTATGGATTCACAATGATTTCTGAATAAAAATATTTGTGAAAGAAGATGTGTCACTCATTGCGCAAATGTTAGATTGATAATGCGATGGCAATTACTCCTCCCGCCGCTCGCAATTCCATCCAATATTCTGGTGAACCTACGGCGATTATTAAATGTTGTGCAATACAAGGGAACAACTATGACGAGTTGACAGTTTCTGGTGAGAACAAAAAAAATAACGTTTAACGTTGGACACTGTTAAAAATTTTGTCTGAAATTTCCGGTACACTTTCTGGAAATTTTTATCACATTACAATTCCATTGAAGTTTCGAAGAATTTCCCAATGGAAAATTGAAAATTTTGTGGTAAAATCAATGGAAATATTAAACTTCACTTCAATTATTCCAGGAAAATTAATTGAAGTCAGGAAATTTGGTACTGAACATTCATGTTTCAATGGAAATTCAATTTTTTGTAACAGTGTAACCCTATTGAATTAAAGGCTACGAAAATACAATGTTATTTTACCTCTAAAACTGTGAAAATAATTCTAGCTGTTAATAAATGATTAAAAAAATACTATCGACCACTTACTTCCAATTGTATATTCATATATTATTATAATACAAAAAAAATCTAAAAACAATCGAGACAATTAAATCAGCTTAGAGCTTGATAAATTTAAAACTAAGAAAACTCAACATTTCCTGCAGCAATTGAGATCTCAACTGATATCCGAAAGAGATTGTCCCCAATTACGCGGTCAAGTATCCAATGGAAGGATGTAGAGACAGAGAGAATATAAAAACTACTGTTCGTATTTTTCTCTCTCTTCGTATTCGGACCTGATTTGCAATCATCCTTTTTTTACATCTAAACCCTCGACAAAAATCTCGATAATGTTAGAAACTTGCGATAAACTTTCAATAACAAAATGAAAAAAAAAATTTACTAGAAATTTCATTCGTTACACTCTCTTTCCGACTATTGCTTTTGATAAGACTTGCACACTCATAATCATTGTTGGATAACGCGATAGTGAAACAAGAAAAATGTGTCGCGCATTGTGTAACTGTTTGATTAGAGATATTTTGGTAACCTAAATACTTCAATATCCGCGTTTCGTTAACAATTATTCGAGCAATTGACTGACGACCAAACTATTGACTGAAATATTTCTGTAATTTGCAATCCTACTCTGGCCGGCTGAATCAATGGACCAGCCAAAACTGGCGATTCAGAATTTTGATGAACTCATGAATGCGATGCCAAAGACAAATATTAGAAACACGTGTGAAGGGCCGGAATTTTGAAGCTGACTGGATGTACTGGAAATGTTATCGTTCTCAAACGAAATTGCCCTAATTTCACCAACATGCTAGCATAGCGTGATCAACTTATCGTTTTGATGGATAAACAATTGTCCAAGATGAACCTGTGTACCTATTGGAGATAAATCATTCTAGGCTGAATTATCGATCACTATTTTGATGAATTTCAGCAAATCCATGATAATTATTCAGCATTGCATGTTGGAGAATTCAATGGCAGATCAATACGAGAGAGAATAAGTGCCCATGGTTGACAGTTGCGGGTTAAAATTGTCTCAATTACTCAATATTGATTTTTCACTTTTTGTGTACTCAAATTTCTAGAGCTATTTCGTTAGTCGTCAGCCGTATAGGGTACAATTATCAAAGTTTGTGCATGAAAATGGGAGAAAAGAGGGGGGTCACAATTTCCGTATAAAAATACCCGGAAATCATGGTAGGTATCATTATCAACTCCAAAATGAGAGCCTACGCATTCCTCCTCTTCGCAGTCATCGGTATCAGCCTCGTAAGTATTACATTCTTAATGTTTTTGGGCGCCAGTATTTTATTCGATCTGCTTGATTAATAAATTCCAATTGAAGGTCCAGGCGGACTCGGTAAAGAATCTCATCGACAATGTCCACAGTTTCCTGAACGACTATAAACTTGATCTGATAAATACTCAGCGCAATCTCATAGATGAATATAAAAGCAAAAGGAGAAGCGCTGTTGACTTCGCTAGCGCTAGTGTTCAACAACTGGCAGTGAGTAAAATGAAATGAAGTACTGATGTTTATTTTCCGAGTGAAACATAATGAATTTTCAATTTTGCATTTATTTATTTAAGCCACTCGTTGCGGGAGCTCGGGCGAATGGGAAAGATGTAGAAAAATGCATAAAACCACTGAATTCAAGAACCAAGGCGGCTCTGAAAGAAGATCTCGATGAGCTGAAGTCGTGCTTCAACCAACATGTGCCCAACTATGCAGACATAACTAGAAAACTTGGCGATCTACTGCGGGTCTGTAAATCATTCGAGCGCAAAAGAAAGTCTGAGTATGAATAAGTAATAATTGTGTGATATTTTCTTTCCACCTGCAGGAAGAGAAAAAATTTCGAACAGATTTTGAAAAAATTCAAAAGGAATGTCAGAACAAGAGGTTTCCAGGGTTGTGCAGTGGCTTGCGTGAGGACACACTGACCACTTACGTTAGATCATGGAGAAACCAGGCAGAAAGACTGAAAAGAACTGAGAAGTGGGATAGCTCTGTGGCTAACAAGAAAATTGAACGATGCAATACTGCATCGTATCTCAAATTGGAGAAACAATTGAGCTCTTTCAACAGAAACGCTCGACGGTGTGTTACTGCTCTACCTGTTCGACCTACGACTACTCAGAAACCAATGGCTTCTGTAGCTCCGACGACGACTACAGCATCTACTCCGACAGCTGTGCCTGTAACGACTGCTGTACCTACAACCACTGTTGCCTCTGTAACTTCTTCTGCACCCAGTGCCCCTGATGCCCCTACAACAACTGGTGCATTCACTACCACTGCTGTCCCTATAACGACGACTGCACCCACCATGACCGCTGTACCTGAAGCGACTGCTGCTCCCACTACCACTGAAGCCCCTATAACTACTGCTGCATCCGACACCCCCGATGACCCTGCAACGACCGTTGTACCTATAATCAGGGATGTACCTATCACTGCTGTCCCTGTGACGACTGCCGCCCCTGTAACGACTGCTGTCCCTACTACCACTGCTGCCGATGTAACCACTGCTGCAGAAGTTACGACGGCTGCACCCAACACTACTGATGCTCCTACAACGACTATTGAACCTACTACCACTATTGCCCCTATAACTACTGCTGCCCTTACCCCTGTAACGACGGCTGCACCCACTACTACTGTTGCAATTGCCATGACTGATGTGCCTACAGTGACTGCTGCATCCGAAACCACTGTTGACCCTATAACTACTGATGCATCCAACCCCACTGATGCACCTACTACCATTCCTGCCGATGTAACGAATGCTGCTGATGTAACGACTGTTGCACCTACTACTACTGCTGCAGATGTAACGACTGCTGCACCTACTACCGCTGCTGCAGAAGTAACGACTGTTGCACCTACTACCACTACTGCCGATGTAACGACTGTTGCACCTACTACCGCTGATGCCGATGTAACGACTGTTGCACCTACTCCCGCTGAAGCCGATGTATCGACAGGTGCACCTACTACCACTGCTGCAGATATAACGACCGTTGCACCTACTACAACTGCTGCAGATGTAACTGCTGTTGAATCTACTACCACTGCTGCAGATGTAACGACTGTTGAACCTACTACCGCTGCTGCCGATGTAACGATGGCTGAATCCACTACCACTATTGCGCCTGACATGACTACTGTACCCGCAGAGACTGCTGCACCCACTGCCACTGCTGCTGATGTAACGACTGTTGCACCTACTACCACTTTTGCAGATGTAACGACCGCTGCACCTACTACCATTTCTGCAGATGTAACGACTGTTGAACCTACTACCACTTCTGCGGATGTAACGACCGTTGCACCTACTACCACTTCTGCAGATGTGACAACCGCTGCACCTGCTACCACTTCTCCAGATGTAACGACCGCTGCACCTGCTATCACTTCTCCAGATGTAACGACCGTTGCACCTACTACCACTTTTGCAGATGTAACGACTATTGAACCTAATACCACTTCTGCAGATGTAACGACCGCTGCACCTACTACTACTTCTGCAGATGTAACGACCGCTGCACCTGGTATCACTTCTGCAGATGTAACGACTGTTGAACCTACTACCACTGCTGCAGATGTAACGACTGTTGCATCTACTACCACTGCTGCAGATGTAACGACTGTTGAACCTACTACCGCTGCTACCGATGTAACAACGGCTGAATCCACTACCACTATTGCACCTGACATGACTACTGTACCCGCAGAGACTGCTGCACCCACTGCCACTGTTGACCCTATAACAACTGCTGCATCCGACGCCACTAGCGACCCTGTAACGACTGCTGCACCCACAACGACTGTTGAGCCTACCGCGACTGCGGTACCTACTGCGACTGATGAATCTACTACCTCTGCAGCCCCTACAACTACTGCTGCATCCGATATCACGAGTGACCCTGCAATGACCGTCGCGCCTACTGACCCCGCTGACCCTGTAACGACCGTTTCACCCACTGAAACTGCTGCCCCTGTAACGACAGCTGACCCTACTACCCCTGATACTCCTACCACGGCTGATGCAGAAAGTACCGCTGATGTCAATGCAATGACCGTCGCACCTACTACCACTACAGACGCTGCAACAGAGGCTGCAGCTACTACCACTACAGACGCTGCAACGGAGGCTGCACCTACTACCACTACAGATGCTGCAACGGAGGCTGCAGCTACCACCCCTGTTGTCTCTACAACGACTCCTGAAGAAACTCCGACGGATGTTCCTCCAACCACAACTGAGGAACTACCAACGTAAATTAAATCAATTCCAGTTTCAATTGAGCCAAAATCTTCCATCAAACATTGATTTGTCATTGCCGATCATCCACCGGAGCTCATCTCACGTCACCTGCTCCGGAGTTTCAGTTTCAAGAATGAATCTGGATCTTGTGGCAATCCCATTGAATAAAAACGTTCATTTTCTACGTAACAAGAGAAGTCATGAAGGGTGTACTTCGTGAAAGTTCCACTATAATAGTACAAAAAATCCACCTCATGTGATGTCATGGTTTAATTAAATTTTTCAATCTCCATTTTTAAATGGGCACTGTTTTTTCATCCCTCATTCTCCATAAAATTTCTGTATTCTTTGGGAATTGAAACATCAACTCATATCCCAGAGTGATCATCCCCTTCTACACGACCGAGTGTGCAACGAAAAGATGCACGAGTGGAGAAAACAAGAAAATCACTCGGCTGGCCACCCCAATTTTGTTCTTTCTTTTTTTTCCCCCGACTAAAATGGTGTTGAACGCGTGCGCAAACTCCAGATGCGTGCCACGTGTTAGTAGTTTTATTGTTTCACCCATGTGTCTCTTTTTTTCTTCCTCCTTTTTCTTAGGGTTCGACCTTCGAAAAATTTTAAGCTGCCGGGCGTGGGTGCCCTGTAGAACTGGTTCCACCTCTTATAATACCACATGTATACAATGAGAAAGTTCCACATGTACGTGAAAAGAAAGAGAGAAAGAGTGAAGAGAAAAAAAATGAAAGAGACAAATGGACCGTAAAAAAGGAGACGAGGAGAGAGAAAATAAAGTGAGGGGACTCTGACTCGAGTGAGGTGTGTTACTTCAATCTCGATGATAAGCGGCAATCGTCCATGATAAAGGGGAGGGAGGTGCAAGAGCATTGGTAAAAAAATAAAATCCGTAAATATCAAGACAAGTCAGATGGCGAGAAATGTATACGTCCTTTGCATGATGCGGACTTGATGTCTCTCGAGGGCTTTACGAGCGCAAAAAAACGTCTGCAGAGGATGGAGAAAAATGGACTGTTCCTTTTTTCAGACGTAAACTTAATCTCGACTCACATTTGACGGCAAAGAGTTTCGGGGGATTTCTTTTATGTCTTGATAAAATTGAGGATAAAATGGGCCGGGGAAGTGTAATTGCACGAAGAATGCGAGGAAGACCGCAATTCTTGGTTTTACGAACGAAAAGTACTGCTGATTTTTCAATTTTTCTCATTGAAACAATCCATATAATTACTATTTCGAAAATAACACGAAAAATCGTGGCATTCACCTCGCCAGGAGTTTGGAAACAGTCTAATCTGTGCAGGATCACACAGTTCGAAGATTCCCGTGGAGATTTTGACAACCGCAGGGGACACTTTCAGTTACATTATACCTTCACAGCTTCGCTCGACCCAAAAACGTGATTTTTCGAAGGCGGAAGCCGTCACATTCTTCTCAAGATTAAAAGACAGAGCAGTGTTGGGGGGGACCACACGCGCAAGGAGAGCTGGCGCGGCATGAGAATTGAAGAAAAATCATGTATTTTATCGTGAAATCATTGAGAATGGATCGAAGTTGAATGCTGAAACGTGACAGCACATAAATGGCCCCCATACAATCATCCACGACCTTTTTCTCAGCTGCTTTATGAAAATTGCGGATACCTCGGAGGTTAGAAAATGGCGAAATTTCCACCTGAATGGATTCCAACAGCCCTGAATAAATTACCCAGATTTTCCAAGGCTAAATACATTTTTTTGCCCCCGATTGCAACAGGCGAAATACTTTATCTTTGTTTGTCTCACGTAATAATTTGTGGGTGACCCATGTGAACTTCATTTGAGCGTGAAATAGTCAAGCTGTTTTTTTGTAAGCGGCCACTCGTGTCGGGGAGTATCGGAACTGTGGGGATGAACAACAATGGCAATCAGCGGGAGCACTCTTTTGAACGAGGAAAGATGAGAATGGGGGAGGCAGGCTGGCCTTGCCTGCTGGGTGCCCTGTTTATTTTCACCATGTGTGCCATTGGCGTAGAATTCCCCTACCCCTCCAACCGTCATAATTGGATTTCGATCGAAAACTATCGGATTATCGGTGTGAAGCCTTGTTTATGGTAAAACTGATATTTCCGGGATATTAAAGAGTCATCTAATTTCCGGGCAGCCTGAAATGTGCAATTTCCTCGTGTTTCATAGCCGAGAGAGAATTAAAGAATCCGAATAAAAGTCTCATCATAATTTGGTGTGCTCCAAAAATAAAAATGCCTTTCAAAATTTTTTTAAATGTGAATTTCAGTCATTTTTAATTGAATTCTGGCAGCAAATGCAATTTGTTTGGTAAAATCATTTGTAGAAAAAAATTATGGCTTTAGGGATCTGTGGCATTATAAGATTAATAATAATTTAATTTTACTCATGACGATAATAATCAGTTTCCTTCGCGTTTGCTGTCGAAAACATTTGACCCTAATCTTTACTATTGATTTCCCAGTGGTGTTGAGCAAACACCCACAATCCCTGAACACTTTGAAATCAATTAACGTTATACACTCGAGTTTATTATTATTCGAATCATCAAACAGCTACAAGATCACTTGGGACTTGAATAGAGTCAACGGAAGACAACAAACAGCCATTCGTAACGTCTATCCTGGAATCGTGATCGAGTTCTCCTCTCTCACTTCCTTCCCTTCCCTTTTTATTCAGTGTATGCACGAGCATCACGGACGAGGAGCCGAACTCCGCGCAGAGCGACCAACACGCCACGATAAATAATTCATGTCTCTCTGGTGTGTACCAAACACACGGAGAGAGGAGTCCAGGGGGAATAGAACGGTGACTTCTGATGGACTCTGATATTGGGCATGAAAATTCTGGACTTGAGATTATCGCGCGCCATTCAGGAAGAAAATTGCACATTGTTGACAATTTTTCGGGGAAATTTCCGGTCAAACTCTTGGAAATGTATAATAAGTAACTTTTCCACTGAAATTTCAAGGAATTTTCTATTTGAAAACTCATCATTTCGTGGAAAAATCCGTGGAAACTATATTTCAGTTTAATTATTCCGGAAAAATTAATGAAAAATCAGGAAAATTCGGAGAAAACTCTTCTTGAATTCTAGATTCATCTGAATTTTCAGGGAATTCCTTGAAAAATTCCTGAAATTCCGAGAATTTTAAAGGAATTTCCGGAAAATTTAAGGGAATTGAATAGTGAATATTCATTTTCACTTGAAATTTCTTGAATTTCACTTGAAAATGACTGTTTGCCCTTAAATTAAATTCAAGGTTTTGTTTCGGAAAATTCAGTCAATTTTTTTCAACAGTGCAGAATGAAAACAAGAGCAAGCAAAATAAACAGTTTAAGGACCAGTTTAAGAACATTTGTTTTTTTTAATAACAAATGACATGGAAATTTTGTCAGGAGTATTTCTAAGGCGCCCGCCCTGCAATGGAATTTCTTTTCTAAAAAATGTGGGTCAATTGATTCCGTCATGTCAAAATCATTTTCTAAAGATAAATTACTAGAAAAATGGGGAAAGGTGCGTGGTGACTCAATAGAGAATGTTTCAACAGCCAAATTGTCCTAATGGCATTGAAATTCAATGAGAACGGGCTCACAAATGCGTTTCAAGCCTGAATTTCCGTAGTTTTACTACCACAACAAAAGATAATTAGCTTCCATTCAACCTCTGAATTTTAAAAATCCCAAAAATCTTAATTTTTATCTGCAATGTTGAAATATTTTTTAAATTCCAGTAATAGCTGCACCTGACTTTTAAATGCTGTGAATTTACATTGAATTTGAAGTCAAATCGGTCACGAAATTTGTCATTCGCCTAAAAAATTTGATATGGCGAACCTTTTCATGCGAAAAAGTTATTCATATTTCAATGAAAGCTCGAACATTCGCGAATTTCAGTCAATTTAATTCTCTGAATTACTTTCATGCAAAAATTTCAAATTTTTTTGCTCGAAATTACGTTAAAATTTCTAATAACGAAATTCGTTCCAATACTGAAAATATTCAGGCCGAAATTGATGCCCGGCAACGGCTGATTGCCCTCTCCCTTTCAATTTCCCATGTGGTAATACGTAAGACGATAATCACGACACTCGATACACAAATCGTAACAACAAGGTGTATTACATCGGCATATCCGTTCCCATTGACTGAGTAGAAACGGCTGAGTACACGACCTTCGCACTTCCGTGACGTTGACATCGATAACAGCTCCGAGGAGTTTAAGGGGGTGGTTTAACTCGTTTAAACGCGTCAGGCAATTTTCTTAATTCACGATTTATGGGCACAATCGTGGGGACGAGGGCTGAATTGAAGATGAATGAAAGGGGAAAGGGGAATGTGCTCTTGGAGTGTTTGATTCATTATTCTGAAATTCGGAGCGAATCAATTTGGGTCAATGGACGGATTGATTTCGGCGCGTGGAGGGATTTATCGATGAGAATTTTTATTTCACTCGAGAGTGAACATGTACATCAACATCATTCTTCTCTCCTCGCGGTGATTAATTCCTCCCGCAAGAGGAAAAATAACAAAAATTAGCCCATTTCCACCGAAATAATTCACTATTTTACATTTTACTGTACTAGATTAATTTACGCTATTTTATTTTATTTATTTTTCTTTCCATTTCCGTCTTCACAATTAGAATTAAAAGAAATTATGTAAAATGGACACTTTTGACTTTGTTTAAAATGTTAATGACGGGTAGAAACGTTGATAAAATTCAATAATTTTTTTTTCATTGCAAAGAACAATTCTTTCCCTTTGCGATGAGCCTAAACTGAGCTCAATTCTTAAATTTGTTTCTCAGTTATGAGTAATTAAAACAAAAGTCTGAAGTGTCCATTTTACCTCACTCTCCCCTACGTAATTATTTGTTTTGAAAAATATTTTTATAAATAAACAAACTCACCAATGATGAATTAACACTCGCCCCCAGCCACCTCCACGCAAGAGCCAACTGAAAACCACATGATCCGCGTGTAAAGTCCCTCGAATCGATCACCCACGTTTGTAAACAAAACTCAAAGCTCAATCAAAGTTCTTCTCCGTCCCTCGCGCGCAGTCGCGGGGTCGTTACAAGGTCAGGCACCTCACAATAATCACTGCACCCCAGCAATCTACCGGGAACAACACCGCGTGGATAAACAAATGCCACAACACTATCACCAAAGTCCGACTAATTATCCTCTCCCTCAACTAACTCCCGTTAAATCACTCACTCCAGTCAATCTCGCAAATTGTTTGTTTGTGTTTTGAATTGGCGCGATGCGGACAGCGTGCCGTCGAGCAACGGCTCACTATTAGGTTAGGGTACCGTAGTTTGGTACAGACTGAACACGAGACCGTTCGTGAAGTATCTCGAGAGGCCGAGAGGCAGTTGTGTTACGAGCCTCCTTCCGCCGCTCGGTATTATACGCACTGGAGTGGTGGAGGACTATACCACAGGCCGGGGGCTTATGCAGCCAAGTTTCCAATGACCACCGCCAGATTGGCGCCAGTCGACAGCCTACTGTAGACACTGGACTTATAATCGTCCCACTCGAGTCCTCTACTCAGGTCGTTCTCTTTTTTTCGAATTGTTACGAGTACAAGTGTGGGGATACATTACGACCACCGGGGGTTTTTTAAAAAAACGGGGAGTTGAGGGAAATTTTTGCCAAAGTATTGTTGAGACCACTCCGAATTTCTCGATTTCTCAATTATTTCTACTATTTATTATTATTATTTTACTTTAGGCAACGTTTTTTATTCGCAAGACACGAATTAATAATATTTTAAGCACATAATGTAGTTATTCTAGATAATATGAAGGTATTTATGAGAAATTGTGGATTTGTACAATCAAGATAGAGTGAAGTATTATAGTTGGTATAAACATTAATTATTAAATGCAGCATCCTCCCCCCTCGCTCTCCTCGCCTCTCTGACCCCTAATTATCCCTAAAACAAAAATCACTGCTGTCGTTGCACAAGTCCTTCGCTTCAAATAGATAGAGATTGACAAAATTTTGACAATTTTCACTACTTTTCTGTCTTTATTTCTATTATTGAAAAAGAGCACAGAATTTTTTCCATAATAGAAATAAATACTTAAATAATAAAATTAAAGATTTATTTTTGCATTTCGGCAATAAAAATGGAGATGAACCCAAAACCCAGTTGTTTATATTTTCTTAATAAACCTGAGAATAAAACAAATCTAAATGTTTTTATGTATTCCCAATAAGAATAAAGAATTGAGACAAAAATCTGTCACGAACGATCTCCCATCGGCCACTGAAACAATAATGAAAGGAGTAATTACCGGAGCAACTACTGCCCCTCCGACAGAACTAAAACTGCTGTTAATACCGGAAATATAATATCACTCCGGTAATTGAGACGGAGTCGTGGGTAATTGACGTGAAAATATAAAAACGAGAAAATTTTCCGAGACGGGGCTTTTAGAGAGCGAGATTGGTGAAAATGTTTTAAAGGACGAAAGAGGAGAGTTGGGGGGGCTCCTTGAGGACAATAGACGACGGATTTTTGGACCCGGTAGTCTGACTTTGGAGTGGTTTTAGGACCTCCTGCAGCGACAGCCAAAGTGCATTCATCTCCCAGATCGTCAACTGTGGAACTTAAAATTTTTGAGGGAGTGGTCATGCGCTGCGAGATATCCCAGGTTATCTTATCTCTCAGTGATAAAAAATCATTCCTGAGGGATAGCAATCCATTTTGCCCCAATAAGTCAGAGATAAAGTCTATTCACTTTGTTTGTTTCATTTTTTCACGTTTTTTTTTTTTCACAGGCAAAATGGACTTTTTTATCTAAAATATTTCAGGAATTTAAAAAATCGTGTTCTTGTTCAGGCGAAATGGATTTTCCTGTAAAATATTGAACCGGAAATATTCGGGGGCATTACACACCCTATTCAAACCCTCACGCACTGACTGAACCTCCCGGCCCCAAACGATTTTATTATGCACGCATCAGAAACCGCATCTCCGCAGGTTCTTCCTGAAAGTCCTTTTCTGCGAATCGATTTTTACGTCGTCTCGCTCGTTCTGTTTAGTCGCCGTCTAAACAAAACTCGTTCTGCGGAGGTAAATCAACTCCAACCATTGGTTCATATATTTTTTTCTTGGAGCAACATCGTAGTCATCGCATCGCCTCACAACGTATCGTCTCGAGTGGATGTCAGCGCTCGGTTTTTCTGTATCATCTCAAATCAACGTCGGTTGTGTGGCGTGGGTGGGGCACTGTAACGAATACGGGGAAGTTCGAGGTACCGATGTGATTAACGAGTGTCGGAATTTTCTGACTCTTGCACGGGTCAGGGAGGGCGAAGGGAATTTTCTCCAATTCAAATAAATTTTTTGTAATTGATTTTTCAACAGATAATTCAATTTTCATGGTTCGATCAATTCGATTCAATTGAATTCCGGTTTTATTTGTTTTTACTTCGTCAGATGTTTAGTTGGAAAAATATAGAGGACAAGGTGAAAACATTTAATAAAGTAAAAATGACGATATCTTGATTTAAAAATGCATACATGATACGCATAATATTAATTCTTTTGTTTAAGATCCCAGATTATACAAATCTTTTTCCATCTTTTTGGAAAAGAATATTTACTATTATATTTTTTCTTCATAATATATATTTATTATTATGAATAAAAAAATAATGACAAAATATATTTTTTGAAAGAAATATAAAAAAAGATTTGGATACTCCTAATTATGCGCGAAGCGCGCGCTCCTTTTCTAGTGAATCCCAAGAAATTAAAAAATACTCTTACTCGAAAAAACCTGTAACTGATCCCTACTCCGATAATTTAATTTCCAAACAGCTTCAACTCCACTCGAAAAAAAATAATCCAAGAGTCATTAACCTGTTACACTCCCGATAATCTTAAATTTACCGAAAATCATCCAGGTCACGATGATTACGCGTTAATAATTCGTTGTTCGGTGCTACCTGCAGCATCGGCTGAAGACCCCTGGTTGGGGTCCCCCTCCGTCGCTGTAAAACTACTGTCCATGCATCCTCCCCCCTCGCTCTCCTCGCCTCTCTGACCCCTAATTATCCCTAGAACAATAATCTCCTCTCTCCAAACTTCGGGAAAAGCCACCGAAATAATTTTCGAAAATGTAAAAAGTCCCTAATAATGTTTAAAACAATCATTTTAAGGATTTTCGAGTACTTTGGCTATTTTTTCTCCAGTGAAATGCTTTTCTACTTTTGTAGTCGAGCATTAGAATCCTCATTTAAGCCCCACTTGACCCTAATTTTTATTATTATTTAAACTTTGCAGGTCTGAATTTGAAAACATCTTAAAAATCGGCAAAATTTAGACCTTTTATTTTATTCATAAAATAATTTTAAAATGTCAATTTTTGAAAATTAAGAGCATTTTAAATAAATAATTTATAAGCAATCAATTTATTCACATTCAAAATTTGACCAAAAATCCATTTCAAGCCTAAAAAACAGTGTCCTTTATACAACTTTAAACAATTGTTTGGGGTTTCAATGATGTATTTATAAACAAAGATCATTGAAAAAAATAATTCTGTGCAAAACGAGAATCGAATGGCGCTGAAAACTCGTGACTTTTTTCCAATTTTTTTAACGCAATTTAATTGACAAATTTGATGACGGATAATAGTTGAATCTATAGTGTGGTCTGTACCAAACTGTAAAAGATACTCGGATATCCTCAATCGTTCCAATGTCAATACTTTTTCTTCCCGCGCTCCCCCGACGCCGCGCCACCCCCCGAAGGCCGCGAGGGACCGATCTCTTTCTCGATCTTCTTCATCGCCTGAATAATGGGAAAGATGTGCGAGAGAGAAGATGAAGGAGAGAGAATCCGGGGGGAGTACCACTGTGTGAGCCCTCGGGACCCGGCCGAAAAACCTGTTTTGCCCTCTGGGTCAACAACAACATCCCCTCCCTCCCCCTGCCCCCCTCACGGGCCTCTAGGATTGTTGAGGCGTTGTCTAACGCATCCTCCTGTCTCTCGTGTGGATAATGGGGGGAAAAGAACCTGTAGTGGGTGGGTAACACCCTGGAGTGTCATGTTTTCGTGGCGATCTGGGGCTCAGTGATGTAGAAATCCTTCCGGGCGTGGATCAAGGCCGGGAAGACTAATCTCACCGGGGATTCGACGCTTCTGCAACGAGTTTTTTACGTGACCAGGGGTCGATCGATGTTTTTTTCAGTTGCTTTTTTTTCGGTTGCTTTTTGATGGAAGAATGCACTGTTAGAAAATTACTCGTGAAATTTCAACTGAATGTAATTTTTAGTTTTTGGAATAGGTTTGAATATTTAGGCTTTAATTTAAATATCAAATAGTTGTTGGGACAAAACAATCATCTTCGAAGTAAAATACCCATCCCCCAATTGAGTATAAAATATACTTGAATCAAGTATATTATATATTCGAATCCAGAATAATATACAATATATATTAATATAATAATAATAGAATATTATTCTGTTAATATATGTATTAATAGAATAATATATATTTTAGACTCAATTCAAGTTTTTTTTTTCCGTGAATCTTCCAAGCGGCTTATTTTCGCACAAATTCTTTTCTTCAACGTACCATCCGATATAGTCTAGTGGCTATGATTCCCGGCTCTCACCCGGGCGGCCCGGGTTCGATTCCCGGTATCGGAAGTAATATTTTTTTTTCGCTATTTTCTTCTTAATCCTGAAAAAATTTGTTGTAATGACCCTAAAAATCGACAAGGACAATTCCGTGATATGATATCACAATGATTCATGTCCCCTAGAAGTATGACATACTTCGCAGTGGGTCTATATGCCTGTGCAACTCCCATTGATTAGAACTGACGAGAAAAGATTTACAAAAAATTTTTGTTTGAATGAGATAAAATTCAAAATTATGAAATTCAATAAATCTCCAACAGTGAGAAAAAGGGACAGTAAATAGAAAAAATAATCGCAGCCTCGACCAATGAAAAACTGAAAGGAACAGCTGAATTCACGGGATGAAAACGGAAGCTGAACTTCTGGGCAGAAAATGATTCGAAAGCTCCAGGAGATGACAAATCTCGAAAGTTTTAGCCCCCGAAAAACCCTCGCACTTCGTTGTTAAACGATTTCCACGCGGAAGTTATTCACAAAGTGTTGAACGACGAAAATAAACTCGCTTCCTGAATTTTCCCTTCTCCTCCGCGACCCTGAAATTCTCCGGAATATTGTTTTCCACATCACCGACAAAGTAATCCATGAAATATGTAGGAAATAGGATAAGACGGAGGTGGATCACGTGAATGTGACTGAGAATGGTACTCATGAATTTAAGAGCGGAACGATGCCCGGAGAACAAGTGGAGAGCGATGTAAAGAGGAAAATAGAAATGGAGAAGGGACAGAGGTGCTCTGCCCTCCAAATCGTATTACTGGGCATCGGAGATATCGCTGGATGAGAATAAATCGTCGAGTATCAACTCTCAGAATCCTCGAAAACATGATATCAAATATTGGTAGAAATGGCTTTAGCAAAATCTTCGAGTATCGATATGAATCTTTACTGTGCATCGGCGATAAGAGTTTCCAATTGAATTCTATCGAGATAAATTCAATTCAAAAGTTTTTTTCAGCACCAAAAATTAATAGATACCGATTGCAAAAAATTACGCGTCAATCTCAAAGAGAAATACATTGTTACCAAAATTACCATAATTAGTTTCAAAATGTTTAGTAAACTCGAGCCAAAGTTTACACATAATATAAAATATCAGTAAATAAAAAAATAGTAAATATTGTAAATACTGACTGTTTAATTTTTGACCAAAAACTTGGTCAAACAAAAAAAAGATGGATCCAGTAGACCACACTATAGATTTAAACACTTTCAATCATCAAATTAAATTAAAAAATTAAATTAATTACACTAATTTTTTATTTATTTTCATTTTTAAATCAATTAAATTAATTTTTTAATTTGTCAATTAAATTAAAAACTTAAAAACTTGAAAAAAAAAACTACGAAAAATCCCAATTGTCCAATAATTCGCAGAAATAATTCTCAAATTCTCCTAAATTTCGAAAAATCTCAAACATAAGTACAGTTCTACGATATTCTCAACACGCTGTTGTCAATATCTCCCCGCCCAATGAACTTTCATCATTTATCACTCCATTTCCATCTAATGCACCTGAGAACGGGCTAATTACTAATTCACAGTCACATTGTCCAGGAGCCGCATCACTGCGCGAATGAGAGAACGAGATAATCGAGTTAAGGACATCATTCCGCGTGAATAAATCCACAGTCGTCAAGTCAGCCCTGAAATTACATTTCTTTCAGCTCCCATTTTTTCCCTCCCTTAATCCCTGATATTTCGTCTCATCCAATCGCAGTTGTCTCGAGGGAATAATCAGCCGACGCCTCGTTACCTGGAATGAGCCCTATCTGGTTCCATCGAAATAACGCCGGCGCTACGAGAAGAGATATTGAGAAGGACCTCAAATATCTTTTTTTCTTTAACCAAGTCTTTATAAAAAAACAGTCATTATTTACGATATGTACATACCTCAAAAAAAATAATATCAAAACCCTTTTATAAACAATATTTTATGAAATCCATAAATTTTTAGAAGTAGTTCCATTTTTAATTAATACTTGTTGTTTAATAAATTGTTTTTCAACAAATTGTCTAAAATTTTATAATTTTTATCTAAACATTAAAAATGATTCAATGCTACCATTGGGAGAAACAGTCTTAGTATTTTTTCATTAATCCTTTTTTTCCTAATTAATAAATTCTGTGAAATTTTCTCATTTTCATCTAGTCTATAATAAAAAAAGAAGTTTTGATGTCATAACGAGGGCGTAAATTATTTCCGCTGTAACGACTTTAGGGTCTCAAAGGTATCACCTGAGAACATGCGGTCAATCAAAGTTGGACAGTCTCCCTCCACTAATTGAGAACAACATTCTCGGAGACTCTACACGCATATCTCGACATTTTCGGCCCATCAATCCCATGTTAACAGCCCAAAAACACGTTTTTCCTCCTTTCCAAACCCCAAAATACCTCAAATTCAGACAAATAACTAAAATTAATGATGAAAATACATTCATAAACGAATGACCTCATGACATAGACAACTCCACATCAATTTCCCATATTGACAATCTCTCAAAACAACAAATTAAGTTCTCAAATAATTAATATTGTTATTTACTATCTCTCGTATTCATAACTTATATTCCTTATTTGAGACGCAGTAATCTTGAGTCGTGTCAGCCACTTGCATGTGTGGGAATAGTCGTATAAGACCATGACAACGATACTGATTCGTACCAGAGTGTGCATGTCTCGCGCAGTGAAAACGTATTATTGTAACTTGTGATAATTCCTCAGAATATATTATTCAAATATGAAAGTTCACGTCCTTTTATCCCTAATTATCGGGTAAGAACTAAATAACTGAAAAAATATATAGACAATAATTATTATCATCACCATAACACCCATGAATTAATTATTAATCTGCACAGAACGATCAGGCGAATAATAATGAATTGCTCAAACACTTGGAGAAATTCATTCTTCTTAAATTCATAAATTGATCTGGTGTTTAATTATTTTAGAGCATATGGACACGCAGACTGGACATCGGACCTTCTATCCAATATTCACCGCATGACTGAAAATATCCACAACAATGTGCATCAAATTCAGGAGCGAGTTCAGGCGAATGTTCGCGATCACTTGGCCCGAATCGATCATCTCAATCACGATATCAACCAGCGAGTCGGTAAACGGGGTTTTTAGTTGTTAAAAAAATCACATCCCCGGGTGCAGAACATCAGCGTTAACCTCCGATTGTTGTTTTGCGATGCAATTGGCCGTGCACTTGTTTCTGCCTTGTTTCACTCACTCGCACTCTCCTTTCACCCGTTCGTTTTTGACCTCCCGCTGAATAGAATAACACTGACTCACGTAGCGCTGCGATTTTTATAGGTTCATTCGCATGTTTTTTTTTTTTTCGTTGCGGAGATCAAGTCCGTGATTAGTGAGTGTTCAATTACCCGGTGAGAGATGAAATCGAATGGTTTTGTGGGGGAAAAATGGAAATTAAATGTCTCGAGGGGAAAAATTTTAATTAATGGTTTTGAATGGAACGGGAAATTTAATACTTTTGCTAGTTGCTATTGAATAGATTTTGTGAGAAGTGTGGGGTTTACAAAGGCAATGGTTTATGAATTTCTGATTAGTTGATATTTAAAAAAATAACAAGACTGTTGGTGTGAATTTTTAATTTAAAAAATCTTCTGATATTTTATTCTCCGATTTAAATAACTGGATAAATAATAAAAATATTTAGATTTATTATCGGAAATCACAAATTTGATTTAAAATAGAATTTAGCAATTTTTTTCTCTGTAAATTCGAATTTCTTGAATTTTTTTTTCTCATTTCTTTTTTTTAACTTCGTTGTTTGCAGAAGAACAATGGAATTTGAATGGTTCCGGAGAGAAGTTTAAGTTAATGGTTTTGAATAGTTACGGGAAAATTAAATACTTTTGCTATTTGCTATTGAATAGGTTTTTGTGAGAGAGAATGCGGTTTACAACGGCAATAACTTATGAATTTTTGTTTAGTTGATATTAAAAAAAATAAAAAGACAGAGTTTGCGATATTTTATTCTCAAATCTAAATAACTAGATAAATAGGAAAAATATGTCGATTTATTATCGGAAATCACAAATTTGATTTAAAATATCAGAATTTATTTATTTTTTCTCCATTAATTCTAATTCCGTTTGAATTTTTTTCTCATTTTTGAATACTATATTTTAAATATTTAAATTTATTGTTAAACATTGCAAACTTCATTTAAAACGTCAGAATTTATTCACGTCGATAAAAGACAGCATCGAGAGAATTTTATTGAGCAGAGAAAAATAATAATTTAAATGTCTCGGCGAGAAAAAAATTGAGATTGATAATTTTCTAATGTAAATAGTTCCATTGAAATTGAATCCCTCACCGTTCAATCAATTCCATTAAATATTGAATTAAGATTTTTTCTGGATAAGAACTCGTTCCACAAAGGCCAGCAATTTAATATTCTTCTCCATAATTTTTCATACTTGAAATTGATTGGGTGTCGAAAAAAAAGCTATCAGCCGGTTTAAATCATGTCGCGGTGGTTATCGTTGGAGTGATGTAACAATTTGTAGATACGAGACTGCTCGTCACACACTTCACGCCTGAGTCACGGAATTATGTTGAAGTTATTTAACCTTTCCGCTATTATCAACTCTTCATTTGCCTTTCAGCATTTTTATTTCAATCTTGTTAGGGATCCCCGACGTATAAAGCCCGTCTACTCATCAAAACCTCGTTTTAGATTAATTAAATGGGAATTCGAATGGATATTGAAACTGAAACTCCGGAGAGGGCTATTGAATTTTCTTCTGAATAGAAGGAACTTATGAAATTAAATCAACGAATCGGTGAATTTAATCAGTTGGAAGACACTTGCGTAATTAATTTATTAATGTATTCGATAATTATTTTGATTAGAAGGATTCATGCCTCCACTCAATAGTTCATTCTATCAATCGATTTCATTCGATATTAAACTATTGAAATGATCAAGTAATTGAAAAAGATTTCAATTATTCAATCAATTGATTATTGATTTAATCTATTCATTTATTCGTTTTATTCATCAATTCAATTTTTTCATCCATTCACTGAGCCTCAAAGTAATGGAATCAACATATCAATTTTATCATTCCGTTATTTTAATAATAGTTTTATTGCCATATGAACTAATCGTTAATTTCTCTGAATTAATCAATTGATTTTAAATTTAATTGTTCATTTTTAGCCGAAATCAATAAGGAAGTGGAAAATGCCGGTCCCACACTGAGAATAAATTCAAACGGAGGCTCCTCTCGCTCAATAATCTCCGGACACCTTCCGAATGGAGAGCCCTATTTTCGGGACGTCGAGGAACGCACGATTGGCGACACGCTCCATCGTTTTGAGAATGTGTACAATCCGAAAACCCAGCAAATGGAGAGATACCACACGACTCTGGACCTGAAGGATCCGAATGCAAAGCCAGTGCCAGTGCCAGTACCGGGGGAGGCGAAAGCTCCAGGACCGGAGGAGACGAAAGCTCCAGGACCGGAGGAGACGAAAGCTCCAGGACCGGAGGCAGCGAAGCCACCCGAAGATCACCAGAAGACAAGCCATGAGTCACAAGTCGGACTCCAATAGTGACATCACGACCCGCGGGATCGAATCATCATGCGATCCTTTATCCTATCTGTCATTTATCGGGGGTTTCAGTGGCTAGTTTCTAGGAATTCTTTGTCATTCGTTTCAACACGTGCCTGAGATCGCTTTACGCTCATCAGGAGTCTTATTTCTTCTCGTATTCTCATGTCATCATTGGGGGAATGACTCCAACTGTCAATTGATCCGTCTTAATTGGTTGCGATCACATTTTTAATTATTCCATTTTAATCTCGCTGTCGGCCAATGCAGATTTATTGAAAATTTTTAATTGCACTTGTACTCTTCTTTTAGAATGGTGAATTAAATGTTTTAATGTTGATTAAAAATGTAACTTACAGCGGTGAATTTTATTAAGCTGTCATGTATGACAAAGTACTTTAAAGCAATAAAACGTTTTACGAAAAATTAAATCTTATCTTTTTCTTCGTGATGAAATTTTTATAATTGTTATAATTTATACACTGTTGGAAATTTTTTGAAATTTGAGTAAGAGATGCATTTGAATTTTCAATATTCGGAACTTGAGTGCAATTTCGGGGTAAATTGCTCATGGAATTCCTGATTCATCTTGGAAATTGGATAAAATTAAGGTTTTCGTGATGAATGATCATTGAATATTCAAGAAAATTGACTGATTTATCAATAACAAGATCAATAGAAATTTCATGTAAATTATTCTTCGTTAAAAATTTCAAGATTTTTTACTTAAAATTTCAAAAGTAATTTTCTAGGAGTGTAATCAAATCAGCAGATTATCAACATGTGATTTTAGAAAACCTCGAGCCAACTTTATGGCCCTTCCATTAACGAACCGCCTAAAAAATACAAAAGAGAAACATGAAAAATCGAATACTGCACGTGAAAATACCCTCATAAGGGGGGAAGAGGATGAAAACATTTGTTCACGTGTGGCGTGTATTGGAGAAACAGGATGTAGTCTATAATTCATGAAAATTCATCTTCGTCGGATTGGGATGGGAGTTTCGAGTCTCCGAAGAGTCGTTCTGATATTATAACTTTGATAAGACAACATAGCGCACGAAAAAACGTAAATAAGAAGATATAATGGGGAGAATATTCACATGGGAGGGAAATTGTTTCCCGTGGTGCTCTCAACTCCGCTGTGACCCCAATAAAATTATGAATAAAACAAAAATATTTTTTTCAAAAGCATTCTACTGTTAAGTACTTTTTACGAGAGAAATATTCGTTTCATTTTATCACTCTCGGGCTTTTATTCCGGTGATGTATATTTTTATTTTTATTAGGCACTTCAGGGTCGACAGCACTTGCGCTGGGAATTTTTTTGACGGAGGAACAGAGATAATAACGAGGGATTCACTACCTTGATGTGAAAATTAAAATTTTCAACAATCTTGAAATTTTGAAATTGATCTGATACTCCATATTTCGCTCTCACGTGTTCCAAACAATAAGGAGGATCGAACAGAACGGATTTCGTCCGTTCACCTACCTCTGTAATCCTATACATTATCCGAAGAACTTCTGGAATATGGGCAACCCTTGGACACCCTGGTAATTCTACGACGGGGGTAGTTGATCCCACCGGGGCTCGTATATCAGCCTCAGCAATCTGTTGTTTCAGTTGGCAAACGAGCGGCCTCATTACTCCAATCATACGTCAGGAAATTTTTAGTGGGGAAAACTTCTCGATTGTTTTGAATGAATATTCCACAATATTCTCGAATTTTCTAGCATTTATCGTCTAAATCAGTAGCGAAGTGGTAAAACGGTTCAAGTCGATTTTGACTATTTGCCAGTTTTCAATGAATATCTCAGAATCTAAGGGAGATAGCAAATTTTTTGATAAAACCTTTTCTATAGCACTCAATTTGCTTTACAAAAAAGGTTATTACAAAAATTTCTTTATCTCCCTTCAATTCGTAGATATTCCTCAAAAACTCAGATGAGAGCTAAGTCGACTTAAACCGTTTTACCACTTCGCTACTGAAATAAATTCAATGAAAAAAATTGGACCGCCGTAAGGGGCCGGTGCACCCACTAATTACCCCTAAATTTAGAAAAAATTGTCCTCGTCCTTGGAATGAGTGAGGGATAAAAAAATTCCAAAGAAAATTCTTCCGAGGTTTTAAAATTTCGTGAGACACTAATTCATCATTCAAATGTCTCTCCCCATTTCTAGAGAATTTTCGATTCTAAAAACTCCCCAAGACAAAAAAATATCTATCAATAGTTTACACGATTCTCAGAAATCCTCAAAAGGAAAAAAATCCCCAAAATTTTTTTTTCAATTTTTTAAATCTCTTCAGACACTAATTTGTCATCTAAATTTCTCTCCCTCAATTCCAGAGAAGCCTCGATATCGATCGAAGCATCTAAACGCCAGAATTTACCTGAACCCAGGAACGAAAGAGGAATATAGAGAGAAAATCAGTTGTAATCGATCTGCATCGATGCGTCCTTGTCCCTCAGTTTTACGTCTTGATTCCAGGTATCAAGTGGAAGGTGTTTTCGATAACACGACTAATTATCCCGGCGTTATTGACGGGTTATTTATGCAGCCACCGGACCCAGTGCACGTCCACGGCATATCTCGAGCGATTTTTCTGCGCGATTTTTTTTTTTCATGGAATAATGCATCGACGATTGGCTCAATGTAATAACATTTAACGGATCCTCACTCCGCCCTGGATGCAGCCGAAAAAACTTCAGTCTTAATTTACACTTTATATTCGCATGTGGTTAATGTCTTTGGCATGAATTTCAGTTCGATTCCATGTCGCCAACATTTTCTCATCGATAAAATGCCGATTGCGTTTGAATTTTAATTTTATTTTCCTCGGTTTTCACGCCATTAATTAAGTTTCGAGATATTAATGAACATTGGGGGTTTCGGAATTATATAAACCCTATAATTACGAGTTTTTATTATAGTTTACTGGTGTGGGCATTGTTTTTATGGTGAAATCGACATTTAGATGGTAAATTCTAGGTCATCAATGATCGAGAAGATTTTATAAATTTTTATAAATGTTCTGGGAGAATCAGAATATTTTGGGATACGCTAGAAAAAGTCATCAAAGTTTGGAAACATGGAGAATTTTCTAGCTGAATTCACCAGAAGATTCAAGATTTTTCTACAATTTTTTAGAAATTCCAATAATTTTTATGAAGAAAAAACGTGAAATAAAAGCGAAATGTGCTTCGATAAAATTAATATGACACACGGGAAAAATTATTCGTGTCAAATTATGGAGATTAAGATTAAAATTCTCATCTTTTAAAACGAATAAAAATGATCTAAATCGTAATTCTAAACCCAAAGTAATGGAATTAATTCCCGGGGGTAACAGAAATGTCTGTCGAAAATAATTCAAATAACTCGAAACTAGTTTGAAGTGGGAAATTTTCCTGGCTCTCAAACAACACTGCAACTCCCTAACTATCGAAGTTTCGGACATATTCATTAAAGTAGGAAAAACCAATCCATCAGAAGTGCTTAACGATCAAATAACGCAATGATATCCACCGAGAGTTACCGAAAGTTCTGGATTCTCAGATCTAAGTGGCAAAGTAAATCAAGGTAAAATCGTTAGACAAGTTTCCCTAAGGGATTTTCCAGTGCAATTGACGCTGGATTATAACCAGTTGAGCTCGAGGCTGAAAGTTATGATTTCGACCGATGTCTGTTATTCAACTGCTGCCAGACCCTCGTTAGCAAACTCCAGAGTTACCGACACCCGAAACTTGCTTCGTTCAATAAACACGAGTGATTGAATTCATTACCTTCGTGTAATATTTCATCCCGAATCATAAAATTTAATCCAGAATTTCCAACTTGATATTGATGAATTTTCCACGATCGAATAGTATTAATAGTTCTGTAAATTTAATTTCAGGAATTAACGTTTTTCTCTTTCTTAAAATTCAAAACAATTCTTGAAATTTTTGGATTTCTCTTAATAATTCCCACCAAACAACTCGATAATTTTCATGAAGCCCTGACTATTCCTGTGAAAATGTGCAGAAAATACAAAATTGATCTGAAATTTAATGAAACAATTAAACAACAATTAATTAATTTAACTTAATGAAACACTGCAGTTTCGTGCCGTTTTGTAAACAGAATAATTTTTTAAAATTCTTCTCGACAATAATCTCAATCCCCATAATTTTTCCCTTCCAACCCAAACCCAAACAAACTAAATAATCATCAGAATTCGCTCAATCTCCCTAAACAAGATTCAACCAGACCAAGAACAACTGTTTCGTGTTGCCTCGGCTTATCGCCCCACGGTAAAACGATAGAAAGTAATGGCACGTGTTTAATTACAATCCAAGTGTAGTCATACACAGGGGGCTAGCATTTGTGTTATTAAAACACCGAGTGGAATAACCGGTAAAGGCAATGGTGTACACACTAGCGTAAGCAACAAAACGGGGGAACAGAATCCGTTGGCGATAATTTAAACGCCACCTTAATGAGATTAACGTTTACGAGCGGTTTCGCTACGGTGTAAATGAATGGAGAGAAAAATATGTGTGTATTGGGGATTATTCTACAGCACGACCAAGTGACCTATCAAAGTGTCACACTCTCTAAGTACACGAGAGAGGAATTGAAAAAAAATAACAATGGGGGACTGTTGCTGGGATGAGACAACGGGAACGTCCAGATTACCATCTCAACTATTCATTAATCGATTCTAGAGTTAATTAACTAATCCAACGACCGCAATTATTCTCAATTAGTCCAATGGTTGCAATTATATTTATTTTAGATTTTTAAAAAGTTGATAAAGTTCAATTTTGGGGTAAATTAGTTTTCGTGAAATATCTCAGAATGGAAGCGAGATAGCGACATTTGCATGGGAACATTTTTTGTAGAGCGTAAAGAGACCTGCAAAAAAGGTTTTCACAAAAATTTCGCTACCTCCCTTAGATTCAGAGATATTTCACAATTTGTGTCAGCAATTCGCAGCAGCCTCGCCACAGTCACGATAATTCAATTTATCAAGACTTATTATTTTTTATTTGATGTCCTTCGTAACGATATGTGACACTCGACCATGGGGCTCCTCGAAGAATTAAGGAAGGATGGTGTACGCGTGCCGGGCATTCGGAATTTGCCCGCTCGTTGCAACTCACCCCGGAGGAGACGTAAACCAAGTGGAATAAGAAAAGTTTTTTATTCGGGAAAAGGAGTGAATCGAGAAAAAAGGAACGAATGGTGAATTTTAAGACGCTTGCCGTGACTGGTTGCCTCGGACATGGGCGAGGAGAAGGCTCATGGGGGAGCGGGGGAACCTGGAATCGAAGATGTGGACAAGAAGTGGTTTTCACGATGCTGGGCTTATTCTGGACCGGCGAGGAATTGTTTTGCCGCTGCATCCGGTGGATGGCGAAGCGGCGAGGTATTCTGGCGCAAAAACTACTGTCGATACTTATCGGTACAACACCGGGGGGCGGACAGGTACAGCGGAATGCAGAAGAAATTGGGAATGAGTGATTTTTAATTTACAATTGCGTATATTGAGAATAAAAGAATTAAAAAATGTTTAATTTTGAGGGAATTGATACGAAGAAATTTCACTGGAAATTTTTAATTGGACTCAATAATCATATCGCGCATGACATAATTTCATAGAAAAACCCAGAAATTCTTGAATTGCTATTGGAAATGTAGAATAATTCTATTTATTTGCAACTTTAACTTTTGCAATTTTGATAGAAAAAACTCAATAGATTTTTATTTTTCTATAGAAATTCCCGGGCCTAAATTTTTCTAGTTTTTTCGCTGTATTTTTATTCGTTTCTCGTAATAAAATCCAAGAAAAATTATGTCTGAGAATTTTTATACAAAAAATCCCATCAGAATGAGTTATATAATATCTATTCAAAAATCCGGAGACGTTGCGTGATTTTTAATAGAATTGGCGCAACAAACAAATTGAATCTCCTCATAGAATTTTAATAGAATTCATCTAAATATGTAATTTCATTTGAATAAAATAGAATAAAATATCTCAATATGTGTTTTCATTTAAATACCAGTAAAAACGTCAAACTACTCATAATTTCAGGATAGGTGCGCAATTTTATGATGTTTTTCTTCACACAAATCTCATGGGGCCGTAATATTCCATATAAATAGCACTGACAACGTCAAACTACTCGAATTATGACCAAAAAAATATGACGTCACGCGTCTTAATTTTTTAAGCCTCACAACTGCACTCTCTTCTTGATCAGCCCGAGGTCAATTACTACACGTTTGTCCATCGTAAAATGTGAGGGAAAATACTCGGGATTCACGTGCGGTACGACGGAACTGAGCGGAATAAACGGTGTGCAATCCGTTTGCTCGTAAAATATGCCAGCGTGTGGTCGCACGACAGCATTTGCACCGGTAACTCTTCGCATTTATTTTTAAATTGTGATGAATAAATTTGCCCTCTCGAAACCTGCGCATGACGTCACATATTCACCATAAATTTATTCATAAAATGTGATTGTTATTAACGAGCAAAAAATAAATAACTAGGGTGAATTTATTTAGGGGAGAGTAGGGTAAAATGGATTCTGTGGACTTTTTTAAAATTATTCATAACTCAGAAAAAAATGTATCAATAGAGCTCGGTTTAGGCTCATCACAAAGGGATGGAATTGTTCTTTGTATTGAAAAAAAAAAAGATTGAGTTTCATCAACATTTCACCCCCTCACTAATATTTAAAAAAAAGTCAAGTGTCCATTTTATCCAAACCTCCGCTATTTTATTTGTTGATTTTTTTTTCGGTTACGTGGCGAATAAAAAAATCCTATAATTCAAAATCTCAACAATGGTCCCACCCGACTGTAATTCCAGCATAAATTTCGAGGAGAAAAGGGAAAAGGATCGTAAAACCCGCCGATAACGGAGGGGGCGTCATCTTGCGTCGAGTAACGGCGAGTGCGGACGTTTTTATCGGCCGACCGGGAGCCGATCTCTCCGTCGAAATGACAATAAAACCCGGGGGCCCCTGTTGATGGCTTCTCGCGTGTTACGAATACGTGCGTGAGGACTCCTCAATTTTATTTCTCCCCCAGGTATGGGGGGGGGGGGGCGGTTTCACCTCAAATCATGTTAAACAATTTTTTGAATTTCATTTTGATTTTTTTTTCCAACAAAAATTGCCTTAAATTCTTGAGAAGATGATTGATATTTTCTTGAATGATAATAATCATTCTATTTTATTCAATCATCGCAAATTCATTATTTCCATTTTATCATTAAATTTGAAAAAATGTTGAAATTCATTTTGAATTTGATTTGTTAATGACTCAGTTAATTTTTTTTGCATAAAAATCGTTGGATTAATTTTAAAAAATATTAATATAAATTGTTTAGATGGTAATTAACATTTTCGTTAATAGTAATGATCATTAAATTTTATTCCATCGCCCTGAGTTAATTATCCCTTTGTAATTGATTTTGAAAAAATGTTGAATTATGAGAATTGACTCATTTTTTTTATCGTCCCAGTTTATCATATTTTTCGCATAAAAATAGTTTAATCAACGAAAAATATATCTGCTGGAAGCACACCACAACGGCGTGGGTGTATCACAAGACCCATAGACGCCGTATAACGGTGCCACAATAATTGGCAAGACACAATTCAAGTCGTGGACCTCCGTGGGCAGGTCCTCCGGTGTCTCCGGGCGTTACACTCAAGTGTCAATTTCCCATAAATCTCAATGCAAGATGTCAGATGTATCAGGTACAAAGTGAGAACAGGAGCGTTACGATCCCGGTCATTTCGTTTCTGAACACCGAGCGACTGATGCGAAATCATTATCGCTTCTCTCAGGGTCACACGCGGTCACAATTCCCGAGGCCCCACTTCGGGAATTGCTGCGCGAATTATTGCTTCATTCGTCTCACCTGAGTCCTCCTTCATCCATCAAATTTTATTGAATGATGAATATTCAATTGGGAATTGTATTTGGACGAGAGAATATTTTTAGATGATAATTGGCGCAAAGAACGAATAGAATAATTCAATAGACTGCCAACTGAATCCCAATGAAAATTCAATGGAATTTCTTAGAGAAAGCGCTGCCTTTTCTATCAATTTTTTTCATACGTGCACACCTGAACTCAAACGTTCTAAAGCTTGAAGTAGAGCAATACAAGAATTTCCACCGTTCATTTCTCTTTTTTTCATTCACCGGGGGATGAAACTTTATTTCTTTGAAATGGATGCTGGGTTGTGAGCGTGAAGCCGCAGATTGCTAGTGAAAATCCCAGGGATAAGCACTCGCTGAAAAGATGAGAACATCCAGTCGGCGCATGTTTTTCTAAAGTGCTTTTTAATTTATTGAAATCAATTTTTTCATCGAAAATTATTATTCCAAAAACTGTCAGTTTCAAATAACACAAGATAGATGAGTTAAAAAATCAATATTAATTAAAATGATTATCGATATTAATCAATATAAATTTTTTTCTTCGGAAAAACGAATCTAACGCAATTTAATTAACAAATTGTTTAATTGATTGAGAATCCCCGAAGTGATAATAAAAAAAATGTGAACGATAATTATTTCGAAAATTATTATTCCAGAACCAGGCCGTCTTAAATAATAAATAACAGACGAATTAAAAAAGACTTAATGTAACTATTGCTTTCAGCAAAAAAAATCCTCGCAAAAAAATCTCATGCAATGGAATTGACAAATTATTTAATTGATTGAAAATCTCAAATTGAAGATTTATAAAGAACTGTAAAAAAATACCACGATATTAATATCCATCCATCTCTAAAAATTACTGCTGGGCATTAGAGAGACCCGTGGGTGTCCAGAAGATGATATTTCATTTACCGAGTGGACCAAGCCCCTGCCAAAGCGGTAGATACGAAATAGACCTACATCGACACGATGAAACCTTAACATAAGCAACGGGTTCTCCCGTATTTCGGTTTCTGTTCATTCGGTTTTACTCAACTGCTGGCACAACATCGCTTTTTCCGTTAAAACAAGAGGCCATACTCTCGCAATTGTCAATTTGTTTCCGGGAATTATTTTTGCATGTTTCTATAATTGAGGAAAATGTTTGCACGGAGAACATCGAGTGAAGCTATTCTCGTGCTGTTTTACCTGTTTTTTGTTTGTTCCACTGGAGCTGGGGGTGAGGGTGGGGCTGACACCATCAGTAAGTGTTATTGTGCCCATTTCACTATAAAATATTGATGAAAACGAATTAAATCGACAAAATGGAAAAAAGAGAATAAAAAAACGATCAAATGTCTAATTTTTCAATTAAAAATTTAGTTCTCATCGTTTTATCAGCTTTTAACGAAGGACGCAGCGTCAGTGCGTCCTCTGATAACTCTATCGTTGATTCGCAAACCGAAAAATTCAGGAAATCAATTAAAACCCACCCACAGACATTTTTTCCAGCTCATCTACATTTAACTGTTTTTTAATCTACTTTTTATGCGGCTCTAGATTTACGAGGGCTTTCCAGTCTTGAATGGGGCCACCACTTGGTGCGCGGGGAAAAAGACCCATTATTACCCGAAAATTACACGTACGTGCATCTCCGTGGGAAGCGGTTCGTGTCTCTACCGAATGCTGATCGAAAGGTAAACTTTAATTATGAAAATTGGGAGGACTTTTATTGGTTTTACGAGACTGTTATTTGATTGCAGTTGAATAAACCTTATCAGGCGTGCATTGCGCCGGGAGATAAGAAGGGACACTGCAGGCACTTGGATCAGTGTGTCTTGAGGGACTTTCAGAGAAATTTCACGCGATTTCTTGATTACATTTGCATTATAGAACATTCGTAAGTGGGAAATGTAATTTATTGTTGGCGACGTTTCATTGAATTAGATAATTAAACTGCAGGAGAACAATTCAAATTCCTCGAGCTGTTTGAGTTTCAGTGCCCGATTGCGATAATGAATTTTCAATTAATTGGAAATTCAAGAATATAATGAAACGGCATTATCCAGATTTTTCAGAATTTTCAGAGAATAATTCAACTGAGAATTGGACTTATTGTTGATTTTTCCGTGAAATTCTGGGTTTTTAATGGCGAAATTCCTCAAAATTTCAGTGTAAATAAAATGCGATAAAAATTTTCAAAAACTGGTAGAAATTTTTTGAAAATTAAGCAATAATTGCACTTGAATTCTCAATATTATGAATGTGAATTCAATTTAAGATCGAATCGTTCACGGAATCTCATGCAAAATAATTGGGTTTTCCATCGAATACTCCAGAATTTAACTGATTTCCGAATTATTAAAAATTTTAAGATTTGTTACTTGAAATCAGTACTAATTTTCACCAACGCACTGACTAATTTCTCCACTTCCACCGGTATAAACTCCCCATCCATCCAATTAACCGAAGTTTGTTTGCTCCAACTTGAGAATGAATTTATTACGATTCACGTCAGGTACGTTGGCGCCTGTTGTCCGGACAGTGCTAAAGAGGTTGTACAAACCAACTCGGCTGCCTCGGAGAACCTCGTCGGATTTCTGCCAGCAGTTGCAGGTAACCCCGTGTTTATACAAACAAAAACGGCAAATTGTGATAACAATGCTTCACATAATTTCCCCCCAATCCTCGGAATTCCCCCCAAACACGATGAAAGTTGTATCGAGTACGAAAATAAACAAGTGGGAAGAATAATTCTCGGGCACCAGCTGTTGCCCGAGCCCAGTCTTCGATTTGATCCTCAATTTTTCTCGTTGAATCAACGCGGGTAATAAAGATCGGCACGATTTTTTCTCCATTTCACCGAGTTTTAGCCGAATTAATTAATGCGCAGATGTTGATGAGCGGCCCATTTGGGATACTGTGCCCCAACCGAGTCCGAATGGGACGAAATCGGAGGACTCGGGGGAGAGGAAGCCGAGGGGACCCAGAGGATGCGGCATGAGCGAAAAGAGTTCTACGAGAATTGTGGGTGGAAGACCCGCCGGTGCGCGCGAGTGGCCTTGGATGGTTGCTCTCATTCGCACTGATACTGATCATTACTGCGGAGGGGTGCTAATTACTGACAGGCATGTTCTCACTGCCGCTCACTGCGTCCACGGGTAGGTCCATCCAATGGGCACATTTACTACGATTTTCTATGAGCAATTTGGTGTTTTAACTCCAAGAAGCTCAATACGTGAGAAATTCCCCAATTTTATCATTTCAGTTATTTAATTAAAATGATGACAAATTTTTCGGCGACAATTTATTTTTCTCGGGTTTATTTAGGAAATTGTTTTGAATATTAAATAATTTTTCAGGGGGTGTGTGTCGTTATTTGAGGCCATCTGAGCTTTTGAAATTATTTTTCAATCACTTTCTGAAATTGTGAACTTTACTTCAAATTTAGAAACAATTTGATAACAATAATTGAATTAAAGAAGAAAAACATTCAGAAAATATTCCCATTAATTAATATTCACTCGTCATCAGATTTAATTGCGAGAGAGAATTCCCTCGGGAAACATCTCCACAGAAAAAAAAGCTAAATTATTGTTTTTAATGAATCCGAGATTCCGTCATCTTGGCACTCCCCCTAATCTGATATTCTTTATTATTCACTAACTCTGATTAATCACCCCATAAAGAGTGAAAACGTTGGCAGCAGATAAAAAAATAAACCGCGCAATAAAAAGTAGAAAATTGAAACGAGAAATTGCAATATCCACAAAGTGAGAGAACAACAAATTGCAGATAATTTCTCAACGACTTTCATTCTGCAAATTTTCCTAACGAAATAACACGGTTAACGGATCTCATCATGACGTTAAAGTACAATGACAATAGTGCCACGTAGAGATAAGTAGCCCGACAGTTTCACGGAGGAGTGAAAAGCGCTTGAGCGCTGCTTCCGCATTGCCGAATGAAACCGTTTCAACCATTCAATCCCCGTACACCTCACGGCGTCCTTGAATATCATATAGGTACTAATGTCTCAGGCATAGGTCATAGCCCCCGAGGGCAGGCTTTCCAGATGCCTTTTGTCATGGAAATCGTACAAATAACACTTGTGTTTACGGTGTATGTGAACCCCGGTGAAATTCACCTTTTGTGGAATCGTTTCAGCTGGAGTAAACGCGTGAGACATTTGATGGGAAAAATTTCTGTGTCAATATGTGAGAGTTACAAAGGAAACTGGATCGATGGAGAAACATTTTTCAGGGAGAATAAATACGGGGAAAATATTTATCGTTTGAAGCCGGTTTTTTTTATCGGCATAAATATGCAAAAATATTTTTACATGAATTTTCATGAGGTGCGGGGATTTATTGAGGGGTCTGGGAGGGCTCGGTGTCACAACGAACGACCCACTATTCATCATTCACCTGAAGGAGGGCTTACTTCCATGTTTTTATGATTTCCTGCTCATTTCCAAGTGCTAACGAGATATCAATGATAAAATTCAAGGACAGAATCGTTTTGATGATATTCAACTTTAAATTTTGTATTCAAGTAGGGTATCTTGCGCGCCCCGCGCGCTATAAATATCCCCTTTGGAATTTTTTTTCTATAAGAAATATATTCATTCCTCGTGAATGCGCGAGGAATGCGTGAAATGCATCTCATATTCCTGTTGTTGTAATGGGGAAATTATTGAAATTATCAAAATTCAGTGGCCAATTTCAAGCTAATTATTATTATATATCTATAAAGATTTGCAGGTATACATAACTATAACATTATAACTATAACTGTAGTTATGGCTATAATAATACCTATGAGAGTTAACTCTCGATCACAACTCAACGAGCGCGGCGCCGCCCGTTGTCGTTTTTTATTGTTTTAGCGTGTTTCTCGACGCTTAAAAAATCTTAAAAAATTGAAGTTCCTAGTTCAATCCTTTTATTAAGCTTTCGCATTGCCCGTTTTTTCTCGAAAAATTTGTTTAGCTAAACAAAGAAAAAAAACGTCGAACGGACGGAAAAGCGGCGGCGCGCCGGCCGGTGCGAGTGAGTCACTGCCGACGTCTCGAGCGACAGTGTTGCTGCATTCACCGCCACAGTTGAAATGCGCGTATATCGGTGAGCGTGAAGGTGGCAACCGCGCGCTCGGACTAACCCAGTGGCGGTGCGCTAACCGAGCGACGGATGAACGAGGGTTAAACTATAGCCGAATAGATCACTAACAAAAAACGTCGCACAGATTTAAAATGATTTTAAAAGGGAACTTGCAATTTTTTCTCCAGCATACGCCAGAAGGACATTATCGTCCGACTAGGAGAATACGATTTCTCAAAGCCGGACGAAACCCGCGCCCTAGACTTCGGAATCCTCGAAATACGAAAGCATCCGGATTTCGATGCATCGACTTACGATAATGACATTGCGATCATCAAACTCCACAGGCCGACAATATTCAACACCTACATCTGGCCGATTTGTCTGCCGCCAACGGGTTTCTCTGTCGAGAACAAGAGTGGCATAGTCGCAGGTAATATTCGCAAATAAAAAATTTAGAGGTAAAAAATAATGAGGAAGTAATTGCACTCGCAGTCCCATTTGGAATGATTCTGCCTCGGCTGTTGCAACAGCATAACGCATTCACTTTTCCCCTCGATTACCCCCAGAGCCAGAGCGCAACCCACTAATTCAACAATTCGTGAACTTCCTCAACCGGCGTTAATCAGTGAATTATTCAGTGTACAAATAATTGGAGCTCACATTTCGATTAACAAGGTGAATACCTGGGCATTGCCAGTCATTCATAACATTACCATGCATTCCGCACAATGGCGCCTCCCCTCCCCGCCAGTTCATCTTGATTTTCCCATCTCTGGGTTTGGCATAATGAGAGAGTGGGGAAACCGATATTCAGAGTCACAATTAACTGTACTAATTACACGAGCATTTGGGTTTGTCCCCTTTCAATTAAACCTCGTAATCCTTTGATTTTTTAGCAGCGGGACTAATTAGCGGGGCTAAATGGAGAGATAAGGGTGCAGATATGAATGTTGATGTTTGATGTGGAGGGAGACGTGAGGGGAAAATTTGACATTTACACCGCGATGTTTATGGCTCGATTTTGACGTTTTAAAATAGGGCGGAATGTATCAGCGTGGGAATACGTATTTTAGGGAATGGAATATCCCGAGGTAAATTCTCAGTGAGAAAATATCACGGGAAATGCGATAGGATGAATGTAGTAGTATCAAAAAATCAGATCTTGTAGATAGCGCGTGGCAATTAGAAATATGATTGAAAGGAAAGATTAACTTGAAAATTTAAAGGAATTTCAAGGAGTTTAGACTCTGAAAATTCACGATTTGAGGGGAAAAGCATTGGATTTTGCGAATTTCATTTAAATGATTCCATGGAAATTAGGAGAGTTCAGGAAAATTCAAGTGAAGATTAATGTTTCGATTGAAAATTCGCGTTCATTGTCATCTTCCTGAGAATTGCTACTGAACTGTCCATGAAATTGAATTTTTTTTAAATACTGCATGACGAAATTTGCTTCCCATTTCAATCGTAATTTGTAGTACTTAAAAATTTTGATAATTACGTTTTCTCTGTGATATTTCAAAGTCGATTATCCATTCCTCCCATCTATTTTCTTTTCTTGGTGTTACTTTTATCAACTGTTCCCATAAAATTGATCAGGCTGGGGCACTCAGTACTACGGAGGTCCAGCGAGTTCAATCCTAATGGAAGTGTCGGTGCCCGTGTGGCCCCACGATCTGTGCAAAAGAACAATGACACCCAAAGTGTCGCGCAATACCCTGTGTGCGGGTGCCTACCAAGGCGGACGAGATTCATGTCAAGTGAGTGTTGAATCAAATCTTAATCTGTATAAGAAAATTTTCACATTAATTTCCGCTATTTTTTCCGCAAAGTTCCGTAAAAAAATTATATTCCGTAATTTTATTGAAATAAATTCCGCTCTGATTTATGTATTCATTCTTCATAAAAATTATTGGAATTGGAATTATTCCAATCTTCTGGTGGAAAACACTCTAAAACTCCCTAAAAAATTTACAAATATTATTCAAACTTCTCGATTCATTTGAGGGCTCACCTACCCGCCACTAGAGATGGACTTTCTAGATGCCTCTCCAATGTTTCAGAATATTCTATAATTCCTGGCGATAATCGTCGAAATGTCGATTTAATCACGAAAAAAATCCAATCGCTGTAAGACCCCTAAATACAATATAAACCAAAGCGTTGAAATTACTCACCTCCTCGATCACCACTTACTCAACCAAACTGTTCACTCCAGGGTGATTCAGGTGGGCCACTCCTCCATCAGCTGGCCAATGGACGCTGGATAAACATAGGAATAGTCTCATGGGGCATACGCTGCGGTGAGCCAGGGCATCCAGGTATCTACACACGTGTCAGCTCCTACCTCGACTGGATTTTCGCAAACGCCGTCTTCTAAACTCCCTCCACAAACTCCGAGACATTCAAAAACAATCAAACTTTATTCTGATATATTGATTGGTACATTAAAAGAAGTTTCTCCAATTTAAGTCTCTGTCTTGAGATAAATAGAGCTTCACTCTTTCAAAGTGAATTCAGAGTTTTGTGTTTTTTGTTTCTCTTTATTTTGTCACTTACTGAATCATTCGATTTCTCTCGTTCACAACATTCACAATACTCTCAGTTGTCATCTTTCGTAGTTGAAGAATAAAATTAATCACACGTAAATTATCACAAACACCCATTCGCACAGTCATTGGAGGCCCAGCCTCGATATCTAACAGTTCTATATAATATACGTCGATCAATATTATTTATCGTTAAATGTAATATCCTTTAAATTCTCTACCTCCGTTTACGTAAACGTTTATGTTATATACATATATATTCATATCTCTGTTGATTTTCTCGTATTACACTCAACTAATAACGATTTTTGTCTAGATGAAACAGAAGTAAAGGTCGAATTTAACCGTCAAAAAGCTAGTTCTTGAGAGTATTTTTTGGAATAGTCTCCCTCCCACCCCAGAAATAAAAAAAATCATCCAGAGTTCGTCCAGTAGAATCTGCCAGTCAACGTAAACCCAAAAATTCCCTTTAGAGCCTGTGAAACTCCTTAAACACTACCTTAAAACCTAACAAAGTATTTTGTAATTTCATCATTACTCCTCAATCGTAAAATCGATGTTTGGGTGATGTCTCTACTCCCTATTAATTCGATCGGCTTTTCGATGTGTGCCCGAGCGCACAGTAATACTCCCTCTCGCATGTTCTCCGTACGATCAAATAAATCTCAAACACAAGCCGCTCCCGGCGAAAATTCCATCCTCAATATATTCTTTATCATTAACATTAGCACCTTTGTGACATTTATATTCCCCTCTCCATCCCGCACCTCTCGCTTATTATTTCAATTGCAATGCTCTTCAATGAAATCTTGGTTCCTGGTTTACCTTGTAAAGAGATCACGCGATTTACGTCACTTAAATTATTACTTTGGATTCTCCCATTAATCTTTAAAGTAAATGAGAATTTTTTACTACTGAGAATTATCGAGGCTTGGAATCAATCCACTTGAGTTTAATGGATTCGTTTAATTGGGTTAACGATTATTTTCAATGGTCCAGCACCTTTGTAATCAGTTACTCTAGCATTCTTAAACTTGTGCATTAATTTTTGTCAATCTATCGTCCACTGCACGTTCAAAGAACAACTAAAATTCTACTATAAATAGGATAATCTCCTTTGGTTTAATTCTCACAAGTTAAGAACAGTGGAATCAACAAAATGCCATTCCCCTCAACCAAACTTTAACAGTCATTGTGAGTCGTTGAACATCAACTCAACGCGACATTTCAGGTATAACGTTAAAGTGATTGAAGCATTGTACAGTGAGTCAAGCTCATGGAATCGATCCTGCTGGCAGGAGTAGTGGTGCATTAGGTCCACTTTCCGCATGATTCGGCACATTTTCACTTGGCAGGCTCTGATGCACAGTTGAATTATTTGTGTTACGCTGATGGGATGGCGATAATGTCAGGGTGTGATTACCTGGTGCACCATTTCCAGTTATATTCAGCATGTTACGGGTGCAATTTTGGTTTGATGTATTCTGGGGATTTTGCAGCTGACCTTGGGACTGCTGGCTTACGACAGCTGATGGATCTGTCATTGTGCTTACTGTGCTCTGTTGGACGTTATTATTTATGGGCTTCTCACCTACTAACCAGTAGGTCGTCATCTTGCCCTTTCCCTAGAATATTTCAATTGTCTCGTGTATTTTTAATACGAAATCCATTATTTTTATGCAACTAGAGTGCATTTAGCACTTTTTAATTATTTTCATGGACAAAATTAGGGACAATTGTTTTTTAACATTGAATGATGGCTGTTTCTACTTATGAATCTCTTTTTTGTAATTGAATTCATTTAGAAATTTGAGACTTTTCTGTTTTTTTTCTCCTGAATAATTAATTATTTCTAACTAAACATTTGCAATGAAATTAGAATTATTTTCTTCTCAATTTAGATCATTCATTCAGAGTGAAATAAATTTTAATGAATGTGTGTAGTAATGTGAGGTGTAAATAAATAAATTACTTAAGTAAATAGAGCGTAAAATTATATGAAAAAATTAATTAAATGAGAAATACTAATGGAAGTGAATAAAAAATAATGGAATTCGTTGTATTTTCCAGCATCAACTTGCGCAAGTCCGTGACAAAATTATTTTTATCAATATCTGTCCTCGAGTTCTCAAGAGATATTTATTTATGCTCTTGTGCGGGTTCAAGTGAGCTCTCCTCTTTAAAGTGATATTTGACATTTGATAAAAACCCGGCATCACTGCATTATCCTTCGACTTTGAGTGGCATATTGGCTCGTCAGACAGTGTATTGAGTGTGTGATCAGGCAGACACGAGTAATTGGAGCGGAAGAAACGGGCTGGAGTGCGGAAGTGTGCGTACTAGGTGGCACTTTGGTTTTTACTGAGAGACAGGCCCTCCGCACAAACTTTAATGTTTTCGATCTTGTGACACACGAGTGGGTGTTATAGAGTACGGGAGAGATTAAAGGGAGAGCCGACGTCAGCGGATAGTTTTTAACGACTCGTGTGACTGCAGACGCGAGTTTTAATTGAAGCTTACGTGCGAATTAAAGTCGCGTTGAGAGTGAAATAAGAGACGCGACCGACGGTTAATGTTCTACCCGAAACGGTCAGGCGGAAGCAACTCCGCATTGGAAAAGAATTTTCTGCACTGGTTAAAATTTTTAAGTGAAGTCTCAGGGGATGTCGAATTTAAAATTCAAATTTTTTTGAAAAAATGAAGGGAAATTGCGAATTTTACGTCAATTATTCCATGAAAGTTAATCGTAATTGGAAAAATACAGCGGAATTTAGCAGGGGATATTCATGGTTTGATTGAAAGTTTAAATAAAATTTAAATGTGTTGTTCTGTTGTTCAAAAATATTGAATTTCATTCAATTTTCAGATTGTTTAAATTTTTTGACTGAAATTTGTGATCAATTTTTGGCAATTTCCAGTACATTACAGTTCCACCGAAATATTACGGAATTTTGTCATTTAAAATTCAAAATTTTATGGAAAAATCGATAGAAATGATAAATTATTATAAATTATAAATTATAATGATGTTTTATTATAAATTTTAGTTCAGTTAATTCATGAAACTTGATAAAAATCCGAAAAATTCGTTGAATTTCCAATGAAATCAGACAAATTGCATGATTTTTCCCCTTTTGAATCGAATTCAATGTCTCCCGCCTGAAAAATCCTAATCGACTGTCCATGAAATGTCAATTTCATGCCAAATAATAAACAAATGAATAAATAAATAAATTTAAATTGAAAAATCCGGCTAAATGTCCATAACTCGGTGGATTAAACGACGTAATGGAATTCCCGCGAGACTATCGCCTGAATATTCAAACAGCCATTAAATATCGAATGCTTATAGCCAAACTTTACCTTCAACGTGACTTCCCCTCGACAGTGAAGCTCAAACGTGCCAAAAGTATCGAGAACTTCCTTGGTGGCGGGGCTGACATGAATCTTCAATGCTGCAACAAACCACAAGAGCATTAGTAAATCATTTTACGCAATTAATGAAGGGATGGAGTGGTGGCAATTAATTGGGTCACAACAAGAGAACTCTCGGAGGAGATATTGACACTGGGGATACACTTCATCGGGGGATTTCTCGCCCTCTAACCCCCCCCCCCCCCCCCCCACTCGACTGTGACAGTTTGTCACGTGTAATATGCAAAGATGTGACTGGCTGTGATGACCTTTCACCCACAGAGACCGGGGAGAGAATGAAGGAGGGACTCCACTCTTCCACATCCATTGGCAATTTCGTAGTCTTTGACACGGAAACTGTTTCCCAGTGCCTCCAATTAACTTTGTTTGGTTGGGTTTATGAGAGGAGTGGAAACTCGAGGGATTAAATAGTGCCGCGGGCTAGCGTATGCTATTCTGTCTGTGTGGAAAAAATGGGGGAGAGGTGATTATTATGGCATAGGGGAAGAAGGGAAAAGTGGGGAGTCAAAAGGGGGAAAAATCCCCTCGGGCTATTGCAGGGCTGGCGGTGGAAACGAGGATGTGTGGTAAAATGGATTTTGCGGACAAATGAATGGGAGTGAGAAGTTCAGAGTCGTGATTATTAGGGCTGGGTACTGTTTCTGGAGGGGCTGTTTCTCTTGTGAAACTCGAAAAACTTGCGGAAATGGACGTAGGAACGTGTTTCTAGCTGGGGATAAAGTTGAGGGTTAATTGAACGTTTATTCAGTATTTAACAGAATAATTTTGAATGACATTCGGGTGAAAATGAAAAATTTCTGAAGTATAAATCTTAGAGATGAACTGTTGAGCATTTTTTCCGGAAATTTCCGGTACAATTCTTGAAAGGTTTTACGGCATTATAATTTCACCGGGATTTTAAAACAATTCGGTATTGAAAAATCAAACTACTAGGTGGAATTTTGATTTTTTTCCTGAGAGAATTGAGTGATACTAGTTTGGGATGAAGTTTAGGGTTAATTGAACGTTGATTCAATATTTAACAGAATAATTTTGAATGACATTCGGATGAAAATGAAAAATTTCTGAAGTATAAATTTTAGAGATGATCTGTTGAGCATTTTTTCCGGAAATTTCCGGTACAATTCTTGCAAGTTTTCATGGCATTATAATTTTACTGGAATTTCACGAAATTTCATCATTCAAAAATCAAATTATTGGTTAACTTTTCATGAAATTTCAACTCTTTCCTTACAAAATTGAATGATCCTTTAGTCATGAGTATATTAATACATGAAAGAATAAATAAAATGAATAAAATACATAAAATATTCATACAATTTCACTAAAGACTAAAAACTTTCATTCTCTGCAAAAATCAAGAGAAATTTCATTTTTATATTATTGTTTTTTACTTACGTTCTCCATTGCTCTCCATTCTAGACGCTGTGTTCACAGTGTCCCCGAAGAGGCAATACCTCGGCATTTTGAGGCCCACGACCCCAGCCACACAAGGTCCTGCGATCATTCAAATTCCAAAATAGCTATTCAGCAACATTTGACCCATAATTTCCCCCATCGAAAAATTTTCCATCAAAACTTCAATCAAAAATCAGTTCCCAACAGTCAAAAGGGATTGTAATAACGTCCCGATAGCGCCTCCAACTCAATCTCCATCCCCAGTACGCCCGAGCGTCCATAGCCGTAAACCAATTAAAAAAGTAATTAACTCGAAAATTAGAATCTAGCTTGTCATACAACGCCGAGAGTTTTGCTTTGAATTTTCGTGGAATTTGACGCAACCCTCTGTGCCGCTACAGCCTTCGATAAGTGGATCCGAAAGCAGAGATCCTTGGGTTTAACAGTATACACCCCTGTATCGGTGTTTTTCTTCGTGTCTGTTGACAGGAATAGGGGGAGAGGCGAATCCACGAGGGAGAGAACACGGACAGAATGATGGACACCATTAATTGAGGGCAGGGAATGGATTCTACGGGCTCCAGAGAATTACCCCATGCTTGGGGACATCCGATAAAAATAACTTTTTTCCGATTCAAGTTTTATTGAGAGCTTTCGCGCCACCTGCGGGATTTACACTGCAATCGGTTTTTCTTCTGCCTTTTCTGATTGAAATTTCGCATAAAATTCGTTTCCTTTGGAATGAAACGAGTGAGAATGCTAAAGTGGAATGTTGAATCCTGAATTTAAATATTTTTTCGTTGAAAAGCCAAATCGATAAATAAATTGAGAACAAAATTACGATTCGGAATGGAATCGAGTTTACTGGAATTTTTTTTTTGGAGCTTTCAATAGTCTTTGCATTTACCGTAAGGGTAGAGCTTCTTTAAATCGTACCATTGCATCAAATGTTAAAGATGGAAGACTATTCTTGTTTAAATGAAGAATAAATTATTGTTCAAATGAATGGATTCTAATTCATTATGCGAGAGGAAGACAATGCTCATTGTTATCTGCCTCAATGGATAAAATAAAAAATTAGATAATTATTCACTCACCAGTGTGCATTCCAATGCGAAGTTTGAGCTGCTCATTGGGTCGGTGCCGTATACTGAATGTCATAACTGTATCACGCAGTGCCAGACTCATTCTCGCAATTTCCCTCGCATGATTCATTCCATTTCTAACAGGCAGTCCTGAGACGACCATGTACGCATCGCCTATCGTCTCCACCTATAAATAAGAGTAAAAATGGAATAACGAGCAATTTCTATTGTTGTGTCTGGACTTTTTCCACTCGAGTCGGGACTGTGAATGCTCTGGAGAGATTCACAACACTAACTACGTCGAGAAGTCGGTCAGGGTCGGGGGCGGATACTTCAGGGGCTGATTAGAATCGTTTCACTCGAATTCTAAAAATAACACTCGGAACTTTTATTCAGGTGTTTCGGGTCTCGGCTCGATAAAATTTAGGAAACAGGCGACAGAATAATTTGGGGGGGACGGAGGTGACCTTCAGGGTAATTTACACATTATTACAAGTGAGAAAAAAATCATAGAAAGGGCTGACGGATCCGTTGGGAAATTTTTTCAGAAATGTTTAACGTTTATTCTGGATCTACTGACGATTTTGATGCTGATGAAACGCTTGGAGGCGCGAGAAATGTCGAAATGAAAACATTTGTTTTTACCCCGGGCCCAAGTGGCAGATCTTGGATTTTTTCAAGAGGAAAGTCGACTTTCGCCAAAATCGAATTTTTGAGCCGGGTGAACGTTAATTCCAACTATTTAAGCGACGGGCTATTCAGAACTCTCAAAATTATGTTGAAAAAGTGAAAACTGAAAAAAATTTTTTTTTCAGATTTTCAAAGGGTCAGATTTTCCGTTTTTCTAGGGGGAAAGTCGACTTTCGCCAAAATCGAATTTTTTAGCCGGGTGAACGTTGATTCCAACTATTTAAGCGACGGGCTATTCAGAACTCTCAAAAGTATGTGGAAAAAGTGAAAACTGAAAAAAAAAATTTTTCCCCGAGGGCCAAAGTGTCAGATCTTGGATTTTTCCAGGGGGAAAGTCGACTTTCACCAAAATCGAATTTTCGCGCCGAGTGATCGTTGATTCTGTATCTACTGACGATTCTGCTGGCAATGAAACCCTCGGAGGCGCGAGAAATGTCGAAATAAAAAAGAAATTCCACCTGGGGCCAAAGTAAACAGCCATTTTTCTCCGAAAAATACAGTGGAAATAATTTAACGAATTCATGTCACGAACTCATGTTTTCCATTCGCTACGTTTTTTATGTGAACTTTTTGCTGTGCGTGTATAGACACGATTAATCATGTCATCTCCCTCATCATGAACCCGAAGAGCGTACGAGAATCAATTGTATTTTATTCTTATGAAGCTTCTGGTATCGATTCCATCTCCTGTATCATTCATCTCTTAATGATCTCGGCGCAGAGAGGGAACTGCGTATTCTGATAAAAGCCGACCCGCAATATTTTGTGAGTGCAAAAGGGCATTAGGAGGGAGTCCTAATGGAGTTCGGGGGTTGGAGCAGGCCTTCACGTTTAATTTGCCTCGCAACTATCCCCTGAATATCCTTCGTCTTGCTTCCGCTGTGCAATCACCACTCACTCCCCCGCGACCACAGAAATTCATTGGAACACATGCCAACCCACGCAGTACAAAAAACTATCATTTTTTATCGCTCCGGTTTTTTCGAGCGTCAAAATTCACTTCTCATCACTCCACAAGTGATATAAATCGAGAACTGGGGATCCGGGAGGCGTGTAAATGAGGAGAAAAGTGAGTGGTGTGAAAAGCGAATTGATGGAACAGAATAAAAAAAAATCTTGTCATCTCATCGTCATTTCCAAACGGAATGTTTTCTGATTTCCTTTTTTCTTTTATTCGATTATTTATATTGAATTATTTATTGTCTTATTATTATTAATCATCAATTATATTGCCTAAATTCGAAGTAAAGCCATGCAAATTATTTCTGTTTTCGACATAAAAAAAAAATCAAAAATGGTAATTTCAAATAAAATTGTAGGAAATTTTTATAAAAAATGGGTAATAATTCCGGAATTCCCGCTTCTCTCAAATATCATCATTACACCAACTGACATTAGTCCTTCGGACGAATCCCAAACTCCTCGGACGGAAATTTTGCAATTCCAACTTTACCCACAACGGATATTCGTATTCAGGGAAGACACGAAGTTTCGGAAACCCTCGGGACCACTGTCGTACAGTGTCTCGGAGTGTGAATTTTATTTCCCGTTACACCTCCACCTCATTGGGTTTTATCGTGGGAGTAACTGCTGGTGAGGATAGTCGCAGTAACGAGTCAGGCTTAATAACAGTGGTTGCCATTAATGGATTTAATAATGTCGGCTTTAATAATCGGTCTCATTTTCATGGTGGGTAAATGAATGGCAGTCGTAGGTGGTGAGATGACCTTGGAGATTTGTCTAACGTAGAAATTATGAAATTGACAGTGATCCCTGACTTTTATTCATTTTCTTACATTTATTCATGTCGAAATATTGCAAATTCTTAGAAAAACCCTGAAAATTATTTCTCCTTAACAATTAAAAATGAATAGATACTAAAAACAGTTCCTTTCAACAATTTCTTTGCTCAAAAAAAATGTAAGGAATATGAAACAATGAAAATAATTTCCATCAGTCATCGAGAACAATTGAAAGATCGCAGTAAAAGTCCTCAAATCTCCGAAATAGTTCTACCGATTTAAATTAGTTCGAGTGTGATCTCTCACTGGAAAAAACGTGAGATCTGACGAATTGAATCTGCGAGAAAATTCGGGGAAGGCAAGTGGTGATACGTAACGATTCGACTGACCCAATTTAATAGAAACTCGTTTGGGAAATTCAATTATTATTCTCTATCCACCGGAGGAAATTGAAAAAAAAATGTGAGCCTTTTTGCTAACAGGGAAATTGGCGAGTCCGATAGCGTCAATCTGGGATGGACTGTCGCAAAGGTGAGGATGGAATTGTGCGCTGATGGAGCGCATAAATAACGTTAAAAGTCAAGCAAATGCACTTAGCACTCAGTACATGGTGTTATACCTATTAATGGATGGACTATCCATTAAAACCGACTAACAGCGCACATTAGTGAACTTTTCCGCAGTGTAATGTGATATTTATACGGGCTCGGAGCTTTAAGGCAATCTAAAGTCATTATTGGTCAATCGGGATTGGGATTTGAGGGAAAAGTACACATTAAATCAATGAGGGGAATAATTTGAGATTAACTGAGAAGAGTTTGATAATTTCTCCTGCATTTTCAAGGTTTTTTAAACCTTTAGAATGAGATGAAGGTGGAAAGTTGGCACTAGAAGAGTCTGAACTCCTATTTTTTAAACTTTGAATAAATTAAATTTGACTTAATAAATTAAATTGGGGCTAAAAGAGTCTGAATTCCTATTTTTCAATCTTTGAATTAATAAAATAATGGGCTTTTAATGGGCTTTAAAAAAAATAGGCTTCAAGATTCCCTCAAAATCTCATTCGCGTTGGGCCTATCCACCCCTGAAAATCAGGCCACAAAAATAAATTGAAAAATATCTCGAGTCTTTCGAAGCAAAAGTTGCTGTCACAACTCGAGTGGATGATCGCCTGGAAATACCATTGACGCATTGGCAACTCAGGCCCCTTGATCCTCGACCTTCACGTTCAATGAATCAATGCTCTCCCCTCGGAACTCATAAAACCAGTGAACTTGAAAATTCACTCACCTTGTAAACATCGAAATTTTCGATGATCGAGTCGAAGCACGTGTAGAGGTCGTTGAGAAGGTCGACCACCTGCAGGGGTGTGCTCTCAGCCGATAGACTGGTGAAACCAACGATATCACTGAAGTAAATTGTCACGTGATCGTATGTCTCGGCAATCACACTTTGGCCCAGGATTAATTGCGATGCTACGGATCTGCAATCAAATTAAAATAACGAATAGTTGAATATCACATACACCACTTATTAATCCGTAAAGAATGATGCATTTTCATGAAATAAAACTCTTCAATTGAATTTTTTTATTCGATAATCAATAAATAATCAATTTAAAAAATTGATTATTTATTGATTATTCATTTTAATTTAATTTATTTTATTTTATTTGAAACAAATTTTCTATCAAAATTAAAATAACGTCGAATCATTTGTTTATATCAATAAAATATTTATTCGTCGTTTTTGTGGATGAAAACGCATGTAAAAATAAAATTCAAGTTTTGAATAAAAAATGAATGACGAGTTTTTTTTACGAATCCTTCGTCTGTGCGAAGGGATTAGAATTGTCCTGAACTTCCCTGAATCCACTTGAATGGAAAACTTTGAAGGTCACCAGACGCCAGTGCCAAGTAATTAGAAGAGGCGAGTGGGGTTGAAACGAGAAAATTAGAGCGTAAAAACTGCCGAGGGTGTACGCGCAGCAATTTTGCAAATTGAGGATTTCCCAAATGATAGATTTTCGCAAATGGTCTTCTCGACTCGGTAGAACACTACAGAACATCGGAGGTAATTCATCTAGGGAAATCTCAACTGTCACTGGAGCATGCCTTCCAGCAATTCTAGCGGGATTAAAAGAATAATTGAAGCCTGAGTGGGAATGCTTTATCTCAATAACCGATTATCGATTCGCCGGTATTATCTCTCTACAAATTAGAATGACTTAAATTTCCTCCTCTCTAGGGTCTCCAGCCCATTCAATTCTTGAAAGGGGGACATTAACTCGGTCTGGCGGTCTTGAAGGCGCACCAATTTCATGGGGATGAAGTTGTAATTATGACGAAGATTATATAAACACGTGGGCGAGGCACCACGTGTTACAGCAACAATGAGAGGAGAAATTGCCACGTGGGGGCTGCTATCGTCATTACCCCCGACGCTCAATAGTACCTAACTATGACTTATTTACGTTCTACTTATTTACCTCCCGGAAGACGGTTTTCATCACGCGGGGAGGAAGATACTCCGCAATTTCCGAATACTGAGGACGAAACGAGTTGACAAATCAACGCGATGTCAATTTTTCTCCCTCACTGGGCACCAAAACACTGAATCCGATATTTATTGCGGGGGATGGGAGGAGACACATCGCTCGGAAGACTAATAGAGGGGAATTTTCGGGGAAGAATTCGAAATGTCGGCAGGGTTTCGTTTTATTGCCTCGTTTGTTGTATCCCCCACAAATAATTCCCCAGGTTCTCCATCACTTCCTCTACATAACCGGAATTACATGTGTCGCTCTGAATATCTGGAAACTTCCGGGGATTCTACGGCGTTTTAGCTAATTAATTTCCTGAATTTCTCAATTTTTTTATTCAATTATTTTATATTCAATTTTTAAGAAATTGATTTTCAATCATTTGATTTTTTTTATTCAATCAGTTTTTTATGAATTGAATAAATAATTTATTTATTAATGTTATTAATTATTAGGGGAGGATGGGGCAAAACGGCCCCCCTTCAATCATCAATATTTTCCGATTCAATAATCCGATTGGGATGAGTTAGAGCTCGTTTTGAAGAATGAAAAATTATCTTCAAAATGAAGTTGAAACTGGGAATTTTCACAATGTCATTCACAAGTTATTGACAATTGAAGGAGGGCCGTTTTGCCCCACCCTCCCCTAGTTATTAATGTTCAATTTTACTTGTGTTGAATTGTGTTGTCTAAACTCGAAGTAAAACTTTGTAAATCGTTTTTTATTGCCTCGTTTGTTGTATCCCCCGCGAATAATCCCCCAGGTTCTCCATCACTTTCTCTGCATAACCGGAATTACATGTGCCAATGTGAATATCCGGAAAGTTCCGGGGGTTCTACGGGGTTTTAGATAATCTCCACGACCTTCGAACCACCACGTATTACGCGAGAGCTCGATATTTCTGGAGTTGACGTCAATTATCGTATTGCATAACACTAATTTATTTCCTGAATTTTTTCAAATTTTTTAATTCAATTATTATTTTTATTCAACTATTTTATATTCAATTTTAAAAAATTTTATTTTCAATAATTTTTTATATTAATTGAATAAATAATTTATATATTAATGTTATTAATTATTAGTTATTAAATGTGGAATTTTATTAATGATGAATTGCGTTGACTAAATTCGAAGTAAAACTTTGCGAATCGTTTTTTAATAATAACACAAATGCCTGAGAAACTATAATTTCAAAACGAAAATTTTATTATTCAAAATGTCATTGTGGAGCTGAATGTGTTCTAATGCGAGAACATCCTGCGGTCATTTAACCAGTTTAAATATTTGACACGCAGTATTCGAATAAATCACGTGGAGTAATTCAATAAAATGGCAGTTGTTAAACTCACTTTGGCAACAGTTGATACAGCAACTCCTCGCATTTGCGCTTCTCCTCTAGATAATCGGCCGTACGCTCAGCCACCAGTGTTTCCAAGTTGTTGGCATACTGTTCCATACGTGAGAGAAGATTGTCCAGGATATTGCTGCTCTCGTAGTCTCTGGAGTTGGCAGAAATGAGAAATCATTGTTAATTGCTGTAGAAACGTATTCCCTCATGCATAAAAAAAATAACTGGAATGAAAAAAATTCACTGAAAAATCCCCATTTAATGCACATTTTTTAATAAAACGTCCGATAGAAATTACTACAGAAGAAATCAGTAAAATTTCATATTTCACACAACATTTTCCGTAGCAATTCCTCGAGATAAATTTCATAAATTTTTTCCACTTCATTTTTTTTCTTTTCATTGAAAAGTCAAACAGAAATAATTTTGTACAAAATGTTGGCCAGAAATTGATAGAAAGCTCAATAGGAGTCAGACGTGTGGAATGAATATCCACCGCAGCTAAACATTCCCCGCGAATTCAATCGATTTATCTGATGAATTTAATCCCTCAGCACTGACGTGAATTGACACTCCATCATGCATGGAAATTCCGGCATTCAGTCAGCCGAATACTTTCGTCTCGGATGGCACGCAATAACCCAGTGTTCTTGAATTTAACAATGAAGAGGGTACACATTTGAAGCTCTTGGCATTCAATGTTTCAGCATGTTTTCCTAGTGCATGTGTACATCCTCATTCTGCTTGGGAATTCCGGTCCAAAGACCGCAGAGGGCTCCTCCCAATGTACTTCTCCATGTACATACAGATATTGCATAATGCCTCGAGCCATTTCCGTTAAATTTCTCGAGGGAGTTATTTTCTGTTTCTGATTCTCATTTAAAAATCCAATTTTCCGGGGAATGCATTTAATATTGTGCACAACAGAGGAATTATGGGAACCGTAGACAGAGACATTTTTCACCGGGGGGCTGACTTTTAAGAAATATTTATTATTTGGTAATAATTTTATTTATGGCACAGTGAACTTCTGGAATTTCTTAGGCGTCTCGGAAGGGTTCAATTTATGGCATCATGTACACGCAAAAATTTCAAATAGAGTGTAGAGTTTTTGGCCGAAATTCTCAAGAAAATATTTTATTCTACAGAAAATATCTCTATTAATATTTTTCATAGAAATTCCCTGACTCAAATTTCCCCATTTTTTTTGTTCAATTTTTTCAAAGAGGAAAATAGAGTGAAAAAACTGAAAGATAGAGAAACACAAAATTCTACTGATTTTCCCGCTGAAAAAATCCATTTAAATTGTGGAATTTTTAGATAGAAATTCCAGTAGAAATTCAATAAATTTTTCTACCGAATTCTCTAGGTCTTCCAATGAAATCTTCTGGCGCGTGACCCTGAAATTTCTCAACTGTTTTATGCGAATGTCTGTTGAATATCAGTTTTAGGGCTCAAGGGGTGTCCTAAACCCCCGAAAAGATCAGTATCTCCTCATCTGCGGAGAAAAGAGCCTTCAAAAAATGATTATGATAATTTTCCAACCTCACGTGGCTCTTGCCAAGTAATATCGTCGCGATGTTTAATGCATGAGGCAGTATCTTACACCGGATAGGACACACAAGGTCCTGATCCATCGTCCCCTCACTTCTGCCAATCAGGCTCGAAATTCGTGGCGATTCGTCCAGCTCCACCATCTTGGGAATTCATATTTACAACCGTCCTGCACTTCGCACGGCACCAATACACTTCCCCTCGACACCAATAATTCTTGGTAAATCCCGGGAACAAATCATCCGCCGAGGGCAAGATCCACTGACTTCAACTGCAATTTCCTTTCTCACTACTTCCACTTTAGTTTACCCTTCCCCTACTCGAGATGTAATTAACCTCATTTCTGTCGCTTGATTGGCTCGGGAATTACTCAGGCTATCGGATTATCGGACTGACACCTCTTTGGCAAGCTCACTCCAACTTTCAACCAAGTTCAATTACTGTGATAAATTAATTTCAAGGGGAATAAAAAAATATGTTTGCGCTTTATTCTTGAGGGGAATTTTCTCGGGACAAAAATCTCTATCACAATGACTGCCAAGAATGAATCAACTATATTTTTCCCTAGTTTCAAACCCTGAAAGATTCAACTAAATTGTAATAATCGTTATAATTTTTAATTATGAGATTCATCGGTTCACTTGCGTGAGAAAAATTTGAAAAAACTCGGGGATAATCAGCCCCACCCAAATTATATTCAGCGAAAAACTTTTTTCCCAACATTCCGATCTTAAAAGTGAATTAGTAAAATTGTTTAAACTTGCGCAAACATTTTACGAATTTTTCAAAAACAGTACACTTTTTAATTTTTTTCAAAATTTGAATAAACGTAGAAATTAATCAATTAATTAATTCATTAATTAATTCATTATGACAATGTAAACAAAAAGATTATGTAACTGAAGATCAACAGAATCAAGTGGTGAAACGGTTTAAGTCGACTTATCCCCCAGTTGAGTTTTTGAGGGATATACCCGAATCTAAGGGAGATAGCGGAATTTTCGTAATAACATTTGTTGCAGGTCTCAATCGGCTCTACAAAAAAGGTTTTATCAAAAATTTTGCTGTCTCCCTTAGATTCCAAGATATTCATTGAAAACTGGTCAATAGTCAAAATTGACTTATACTGCTTTACTACTTCGCTACTGAATTAATCATTTGTATCGGCAATAGAACACGCAACCCCGCTGGCTTGAATAGCTCAGTTATGCTGAAAGAAATCCTCAATCATAAAATTTAACGTAAGCAAGACCGCAGTGAGATGCAAACTGTGGCGGAGGCTCTCAACGGACTAATGAGGTTACCTGTCTCTTTGAGATGCTCCATCGTGGTTACGTACTGTCAAGCTCTCGGATTTCAATTTGTCTCTCTGACGCACATGTGCGTAAATTAGGGTAAAGCCGATGGGACTGGAGTATTGATTTCAACACAGGAGAACATCTACGCAATTTTGCAGGACTATCGAATGCACCACTCGAGTGAAACTACACGGACAGAAATTTTCTAGAAAAAATCTAGTACGAGTACTGGAAAAAACTACAATCCACCGGCTGCAAAAAATTCTAGTGCTCTTAAGGTAAAATTTCTTGGTATTTCTGGTGAAATTTCTGGGGATTTCCGTGAAATTTTCACAGAAATACGGGGAAAAATTCACGTTTTCCCCAATGAAATTTCTAGTGCCGGTACTGGAATTTTTTCCTGGCCGTCACTTTGCGCCTCTTTTCCCGCGCTAGCGCTAAAATTTTTCTAAAAAATTTCTCTCCGTGTAGTCTCCATTTTTATCAACAAAATGTCGACAACTCCAAGACCCTTCAATGCCCCGCATTTTTATTTCATCGAGGTCTGCGTCAGTCATTTCATTCTATTTTTTGTCTCCTCCGAGGAGAACGGAAAAAAGTGACGGAGAAATTTCTCTCGCCCTTTTTTTTCTCCCCCGAGAAGGCACGAGTGAACGTCAATTCAATGTCTGGGTCGATCGCCGGGAGAATAGCTCAGGTGTGTGAACGACGATATGAAGAATTGATCACAGCTTCAGCGATAATTTTCACTGCTTTATGTTTCACTCTTTTCTCGTGGAACAATGAGTGATAAAAAAAAATACGAGGTTTTGAGAGTTACTCGTCGAGTTATCTCGGGCTCTTCGAATCCCCGGAGATGATGGGCTACTAGTGATTATGGACTGTGTCGAGTCAGACAATGAAAAAAGGGATGGGTTTTTTGTTTGAGAATGGAGGTGCGAAACAAATTGTGACACGTGTGGTGCCTCTATTGGTGATTGGTGGGATGAGGGAGGTGGGAAGGTGCGTAGTGGGAATTTTACTGCATTCTCGTGAGTTTATGGAGTTATAAGAGCGATAGTTTATTGGAGGAAACAATTTTAATACTTCAAAATAGATGAACATTTGCTGAATTTTTAATAATGAAAATGACGAATTGGATTGCATCTCAGGCAACATTTCAGCACAAAATTCTCATTATTCTCAATGATTTTATGATTCAAATTTTAGTGGTGTAAATTTAATTCTTCAGAACTGTTTCAGAAGATTTAGAATATGATTGAACTTTTTTCTGACAATTTTTTTAAAGAAGAAAATGCTTGAAAAAAGAGTTCTTTAAAATGACTGTTTAAAAAATTTGTTTGGTAAATTGGATGACTGAAAATTTCTCAATCAATATTTTCAATTAAAAAAAAAGACGATTAAAAAAGGGACGATTTTTTTTTGGGAATGGAGTTGAGAAATTATGACATTTGTGGATCGATAATTTGAATTGAAAAAAAAACTCCCTTTCCATTAAATAATATAAAATTATGCAAATCTTTGAATTTTCAGGTCAACAACAAACAACCAGACAAACTCTAATTCCCGGGAATAAACTATAGTACACAAAGACCAATCGAATTCCACGAAACACAAGCCCATAAAATCGGTAAATAATTAAATTGAAAATCTGCTGCACAATCGTCATTACAAAGTTTACAGAGTCGACAGATGTCCTATGTACCCGGGATTATATATTTTCATACTAGTGAAAGGACGGCATTATCTAGCATCACCGAGGGAGGAGTAAACAACCGCTGATAAACGAATGGGTCCCATGCAGACCGCAAGGCCACAGCGGAAATGATTGGCCGGCAGTGGGAATATTTACGATTAATTCGTGTGCCCCGATGCATCACTCTTGAATTATTATTCGGGTATTGCATGGCCACCGGCCATACAACAGACTGAATTATTCTCGTTGAACCCAAAGTTCAAAATGAGGATCGATTAAACAAAAAAAAAATGAGGCGTTTAAATTGAATATTACAAAGCGATTCCACAAGCTATTATTTTTCGTTCAATCATCATTTCAAAAAACTATTTCTACATTTAACTGAAAGAACAGTTGGCATTTCGAATGGTCAATTTTTAATTCGCATTCGATTAGACTTTATTTTGTTCAGAGAAATAATTCCTCTGGCTGCGCTATCAGTGACGTACGATTTTTGAAACTATTTAGGAAAGGATATTTTGGAGGATGAGAAGTGGTTTCGCTGGGGGGCAATGGAAAACTCGGGTGAAACTCAATTTTGGTGCCTCGGGTTGTGGGGGAGAC